CTTACTTGTAATATTAGAATTCATAAAGTGACTTATTTTAAATCAACATTCAAGGCCAGGAGGTCAATATAATACAATTCTAAACATTTGTAATTCATTTGGAGACTCTCACTTTAAACAGTCGTCTATCTGCTGCATTAAAACATGCAACAACACACAACTATACAAACCTGTGGCTTATATGTGGATAAAAAGTACTTTTAATACATATTTTCCTGGTGCGACTTATACACTGGACTGCCACCTTAACGTGTAAGTAAGTAAGTAAGTAATCTTTATTTATATACCGCCTTTTCACTGCAGATCTGAGTCTCAAAGCAGTTTACAATTGTTAATTTTTGGGCATTTGTCTCTCACTCCACACAGAGATGGGAGCGGGGTCGCCAGTACAGGAGGCGCATGCTAGAACTATTGGACATATTTTTTGTGGTAGGGGAAACCGGAGTACCCGGAGGAAACCTACGCAGACACGGGGAGAACATGCAAACTCCACTCAGAAAGGCCCTGGTCCGACTGGGATTCAAACCCAGAACCTTCTTGCTGATAGTGCTATCCACTCAGCCACCGTGGAGGGGGAGTTTGAGTACTCGGGTGATCCTGGGAGCTATGCTGTCTGGGGCATCATGCCCCTGGTAGGGCCTCCCATGGCAGACAGGTCTCAGGTGACGAGTCAGATGAAGAGCGGTCCAAAAACCACCATGGACAGCACTAAAATGAGACCAGTGACGTCGCCCGGCATGGCGCAGCCGGGGCCCCACCCTGGAGCCAGGCCTGGGGTCGGGGCTCGTATGCGAGCGCCTGGTTGCCGGGCCTTAGCCCACGGGGCCCGGCCGGGCTCAGCCCAAAGGGACGACGTGGGCAGTCCCTCCTGTGGGCCCACCACCTGCAGAGGGGTCCGTGGTGGCGCGGTGCTAAGAGGACTGGCCGGCAGTCGAAGGCGGAGACCTCGGCGACCCAGTCCACACACACAACATCTGGCTCTTGGGACGTGGAACGTCACCTCACTGGGGGGGAAGGAGCCCGAGCTCGTGGGGGAGGTCGAGCGAGACTAGAGATAGTCGGCCTCACCTCCACACACAGCTTGGGCTCTGAAACCCAACTCCTCGAGAGGGGTTGGACGCTCCACTTTTCTGGTGTTTTGCGCGGGGAGAGGCGGCGAGCTGGAGTGGCCATTCTCATTGCCCCCCATCTCAGCCGCCACGTGTTGGAGTTCTCCCCGGTGAATGAGAGGGTCGCGTCCCTCCGCCTTCGGGTGGGGGACAAGTCTCTCACTGTTGTGACGGCCTACGGGCCTAACAGCAGTGCAGAGTACCCGGCCTTCTTGGAGTCCTTGGGAGGGGTACTGGACGGTGCACAAACCGGGGACTTTGTTATTCTCCTGGGGGACTTCAACGCCCATGTGGGAAATGCCAGTGACACTTGGAGAGGGGTGATCGGGAAGAACGGCCCCGCTGATCTGAACCCGAGCGGTGTTCAGTTGTTGGACTTCTGTGCCAGTCACGGTTTGTCCATCACGAACACCATGTTTGAGCACAAGGGTGTCCACCAGTGCACGTGGCACCAGGACACCCTAGGCCGGAGGTCGATGATCGACTTTGTTGTCGTATCATCTGACCTTCGACCGCGTGTCTCGGACACTCGGGTAAAGAGAGGGGCGGAGCTGTCAACCGATCATCACCTGGTCGTGAGTTGGATCCGCTGGCAAGAAGCCGGTCAGACCTGGCAGACCCAAGCGTATAGTGAGGGTCTGCTGGGAACGTCTCGCTGAGCCCCCTGTCAGACGGACTTTCAACTCACACCTCCGGGAGAGCCTCTCCCAGGTCCCGGCGGAGGAGGGGGACATGGAGTCCGAGTGGACCATCTTCTCTTCCTCTATCGCCAATGCGGCGGCTCGTAGCTGTGGTCGCAAGGTCTCTGGTGCTGGTCCCGGCGGCAACCCCCGAACCCGGTGGTGGACACCGGCAGTAAGGGATGCCGTCAGGCTGAAGAAGGAGTCCTATCGAGCCATGATGGTTCGGGGGACTCCTGAGGCAGCTGTCCAGTACCGGCAGGCCAAGCGTGCTGCGGCCCGGGCTTTTGCAGAGGCAAAAACCCGGGTCTGGGAGGAGTTTGGAGAGTCCATGGAGCATGACTATCGGTCGGCCTCGAAGAGCTTCTGGCAAACCGTCCGGCGCCTCAGGAGGGGGAAGCAGTGCTTTGCCAACACCGTTTATGGTGGGGGTGGAGAGCTGTTGACCTCGACTGGGGATATTGTCGGGCGGTGGAAGGAATACTTCAAGGTTCTCCTCAACCCCCCCGTCACGTCCTCCGCCCCGGAGGCAGAGGCTGAGGATGTTGGGGCGGATACTTCCATCTCCCTGGCAGAGGTCACCAAGGTGGTTGGCAGCCTCCATGGTGGCAAGGCGCCGGGAGTGGATGAGATCCGCCCTGACTATCTAAAGTCTCTGGATGTTGTGGGACTGTCTTGGCTGACACGTCTCTGCAACATCGCGTGGCAATCAGGGGCGGTGCCAATGGAGTGGCAGACCGGGGTGGTGGTCCCTCTCTACAAGAAGGGGGACCGGAGGGCGTGTTCCAATTATCGTGGGATCACACTCCTCAGCCTCCCTGGCAAGGTTTACTCCAAGGTACTGGAGAGGAGGCTACGGCCGATGGTCGAATCTCGGATCCAGGAGGAGCAGTGTGGTTTTCGTCCCGGCCGCGGAACACTGGACCAGCTCTATACTCTCCATCGGATACTCGAGGGTTCATGGGAGTTTGCCCAACCTGTCCACATGTGCTTTGTGGATTCGACCGTGTTCCCCGAGGTGTTCTTTGGGGGGTTCTCCGGGAGTACGGGGTCCGGGGTCCTCTGCTGAGGGCCGTTCGGTCCCTGTATGACCGGAGCCAGAGCTGTGTTCGCATTGCCGGCAGTAAGTCAGACCTGTTCCCGGTGCATGTTGGCCTCCGCCAGGGCTGCCCTTTGTCACCGGTTCTGTTCACTGTGTTTATGGACAGAATTTCTAGGCGCAGCCAGGAGCCGGAGGGGGTCCGGTTCGGGGACCACAGGATTTCATCTCTGCTGTTTGCGGACGATGTTGTCCTGTTGGCTCCAACAAACCAGGACCTACAACATGCACTGGGACGGTTTGCAGCCGAGTGTGAAGCGGCTGGGATGAGAATCAGCACCTCCAAATCTGAGGCCATGGTGCTCGACCGGAAAAAGGTGCCTTGCCCTCTGCAGGTGGGTGGAGAGGTCCTTCCTCAAGTGGAGGAGTTCAAGTATCTTTGGGTCTTGTTCACGAGTGAGGGAAGGATGGAGCGTGAGATTGACAGGCGGATCGGTGCAGCGTGCGCAGTGATGCGGTCGCTGTATCGGACCGTTGTGGTAAGGCAAGGCAAGGCAAGGCAAGTTTATTTGTATAGCACAATTCATACACAAGGCAACTCAAAGTGCTGAACAAGATAGCATTAAAATCATAAATAATCACAGAACATTAAAACAAAAGATAAAAATATAAAATCCCTCAGTTGTATGCACAGCTAAACAGCACCGTTTTTAACCTGGTTTTAAACATTGTCAGAGAGGAGGCCTGTGGTAAAGAGGGAGCTGAGCCGAAAGGCAAAGCTCTCGATTTACCGGTCAATCTTTGTTCCCTCCCTCACCTATGGTCATGAGCTTTGGGTAGTGACCGAAAGAACGAGATCGCGGATACAAGCGGTCGAAATGAGCTTCCTCCGCAGAGTGGCTGGGCGCTCCCTTAGAGATAGGGTGAGGAGCTCGGTCACACGGGAGGAGCTCGGAGTAGAGCCGCTGCTACTCCACGTCGAGAGGAACCAGTTGAGGTGGCTCGGGCATCTGTTCCGGATGCCTCCTGGACGCCTCCCTGGGGAGGTGTTCCGGGCACGTCCCACTGGGAGGAGGCCCCGGGGAAGACCTAGGACACGCTGGAGGGACTATGTCTCTCAGCTGGCCTGGGAACGCCTTGGGGTCCCCCCGGACGAGCTGGAGGAAGTGTGTGTGGATAGGGAAGTCTGGGCGTCTCTGCTTAGACTGCTGCCCCCGCGACCCGGCAACGGATGAAGCGGAGGAAAACGGACGGACGGACTTATACACAGGTGCGCTTGATAGTCCAGAGAGTACGGTGAAGGCTTTATGTGTGTCTAATAGTGTGAAAAAAAAGGTCCATCCATCCATTTTCTACCCTTTAATCCATTTCTGGGTCAGGGGGGTGGCAATCAGAGATGCCACCCAAGTCTCATAGCACCAGCCCCTCACTGACCCTCTGCAGGTGGTGAGTCCACAGGAGGACGTCTGCTCTGAGTGTGAGCATAGCCTTGATCTTTCAGTTGGGGCTTTGGGCAAAGTGGGGTTAAGTGTCTTGCCAAAGGACACAACGACAGCAGTCATCAGTGGGAGTCGGTTGAGAAGGTGTAGAGGTGGGAAACCAACTGAGCTACTGTCGCCCCCACTGAAAATAAAGACTTTTTGTTATTTATGTATTTCTTTTAATGCTCATTTAACCCGTGCTGGAGAGAAGTGCTGGTTCAGAATTGGCTTTGCGGAAAAATCTTAACCTTTCTTTGTCGCATTATAAAACGGCAGATGCAGTAATAGGATAATGAACGAGCAGGTTTTGTTACACGTCGCCTCCAACTGAAAACAATCTCCCCGCTTAGCTAACGTAGCTAAATAACGTCCTCTAAATCTCACCTCTCGCAAGCCTCGGATGTATTTAAAGCTGTAACACGAGTGACTTTGATGGCGAGAAAGGCCCCGATCGCGCTGAGACTAATGGGAAAAGCTCGCACCCGGAGTGAATCACGGCGCAAATACTCGTCGCCACACGCCTGCTTTGTGTCATTATGTTTCCAGAAGACAAGATTCTCTGTAAAAGGACACCGCGGAGGGAAGCCAAGGCAGCTAATCTAAACACAGGACTTTGTTAACGGTGCGGAGTGACAGAGACAGTGTTTACAGAGAAGCCTGAAATGCAGTTGAAAGCAGAGGAAAGAAGAACCTTGTTGTCGTCGAACATGTAGGGGATGTAGAGGAGGTTCATGGCCTGGATGATGGCTTGCATGGCAGTGAAAATGTTCTGATAAACCAGCCTGGTGAAGTCTCTCCGGTCCTCTTCGGAGTAGCCTCGACCGTGGATGATCCGCATCTGTTTGATAAAAGTGCTCTTTCCACTTTCGCCAGTCCCTGAATGACAAAACACAAGTGTGAGATTAACATGGATTACAGAAGTTAGAGCAAAAATGTCCAGGGTTTGTTTGTTGTTTTGTTATATTCTGTCATTGGTGATAAACAAATATATCAAGCACAAAGATTAACTATATTCAGGCTGAAGTTAAATCATTTTTGTCCGTCTCTGTCTCTCCGTTAGAATCATCAACGACTCTCCCGGCCACGCTGGAAAAGCCTTGTTCCAGCTTCTTCCCTCTGACAGAAGATATCGTCCGCTGAGATGCAGGACATCTCGCTAAGCTAACATGCTAACAGCTTCTTCCCACGAGCTGTTATCAGTTTAAACAGAGCACTTTAATGATCTTGCCTTTGTAATGAAACTGTTTTAGTCGAGCGATTACACAGTGTCAATTGTTTACTGTTTTGTAAGTTTCATTTCTGTACTTTTAACCTCTAGTTTTACTTATGTACTGGTCTTGCACACACTGGGGACTTCTGCAAATGTATTTCAATGTGGTTTTACTGCAAATGGCAAATAAATGATTCTGAGTCTCAATCTCAATATGGGCCTCCTCCAGGGTTTCTCAGATTTTTGTCTATTTTTTGTTGAGTAATGTCTTGCCTATTCTTTGCTCTGTGAATACGTAGCAGCTCTGATTGCCACCTCCCAACCCCCCGACACAGAAATGGATTAAGGGGATGAAAATGAAAGGATGATGCAGGAGAGTCTGAGGACAGTGATGATCCGGGGCGTTTATTAATATAGAACATCATGTTTTTATTATTATCGTGTTACAAGTCTCTCCACGGCCTCGCACCAAAGTACATCTGTGACATGTTAGTGCCAGATGAACCAAGGAGGACTCTGAGGAGCACAGGGACTGGACTCCTGCTGGGACTCTGAGGAGCACAGGGACTGGACTCCTGCTGGGACTCTGAGGAGCACAGGGACTGGACTCCTGCTGGGACTCTGAGGAGCACAGGGACTGGCCTCATGCTGAGACTCTGAGGAGCACAGGGACTGGACTCCTGCTGGGACTCTGAGGAGCACAGGGACTGGACTCCTGCTGGGACTCTGAGGAGCACAGGGACTGGACTCCTGCTGGGACTCTGAGGAGCACAGGGACTGGCCTCCTGCTGGGACTCTGAGGAGCACAGGAACTGGCCTCCTGCTGGGACTTTGAGGAGCACAGGGACTGGCCTCCTGTTAGTGCCCATGGTCAGGAGTCTCAGGACTAAACATGGGGAGGCTGTATTTCAGATTAAGGCTGCTAAATCTGGAATAGTCTTCCTGAAAATGTGAGACAGGCTTCTACTCTGAAAAAAATCCCGGTTAAAAACAGTTGTGTTTAGCAGTGCAGACTCTTTCTAATGTACTGTGATTTTTTTATGATGTTATTGCCTTGTGTCTTGTTTTGTTCTGCACTCTGAGTCGCCTTGTGTATGAATTGTGCTATAAAAATAAGCTTGCCTTGCCTATTATTGAATTATTTTTATTATCATTGAAAAAGTGGTTCTCAAACACTGTAAGTACCTGTGAGTAACTGCAAGTACCTGTGAGTACCACTTTACAGGAAGTCGGTCTTGTCAGATGCAATATCAATGTTGGTGGAGCTCAATTAATGACGTGCATTAAAACCAACAGACGTCATGAGGCAACAACAGCTGAAGGAGTCGCACCGAAGACCAGCAGCGTGTGTTTTTAGACCTCTGCTGCTTAAATAGATTATGATTTAATATAATAACAATAAAATAACAATGTCAGTTCCATATCTTGACTTTGAGACTGCCCAGCCTCACAAAAGGCAGTGTTGGTAGAATACTTTGAAAAATGTATAGACCTAAAATGTATTATGTACAGTATTTGAAAAGTAGTCCCTGTATTCCTGTATTTTGCTTGTATATACTTTTCATTATTATGTTTGTATTATTTATATTTGATTGTAAATGTATGTTTATTTACAACACTTATAAAGGCACATTTCAAAATATTCAAAACCAACAACCTCAATAAAAGTTTAAATAAATATAACATTGTAATTTTTCGTAATTTGTTGTTTATTTTTGCTTCAATCGCTGCATTTAACAACCGGGAAAAATAGAATATTAAAGATATATTGAAGAAAAAAACTGCCCTCTTAATTTTTTGAACAAACCTCTCTGATATTATTTGACAGCACGTATCACCAGAAATATTGACAATTAGGACCAATAGTCTTGATGATCCACCCGGAAGTAGAAAATCCCCTGTTATACCTTTAACTTTAAGAATATTCGATGTTTTCTTTTCTTTCTTTTTTTTAACTTAAAACGTAAATGTGAGAAAGTGTGTACCTCTGTGATTCTAAATACTAGACTTTAAAGTAGTAACTGTAAAGAAATACAGCCACAGTTACTCAGAAAGAGTAATCTGAATACGTAATGGTGCTACATGTATTTTGGTACTCCCCAACACTGACAGAACACAATAACAGAAAAACTATGAAGGTTAGGGCTAGGGGTAGTTCAAAGCCAATTTTAGAGATTCAATAAGATCATAGTCTATATTTATTAGATTCAGGTAGATTCTGGTTTACGTCAAAACAACGCGCAGAAGCTAAATGACTTCTTCCAATAATATTTGAACAAGAGGGATAGACTGTTTGCAGCCCAGCCCATCACCACAGGGCATAGTCCCATTATTAAAGACGTGTATACACAACATTAAGCACGCTATACAACTTCCGCTCTCATAGCTTTTATACAGTGTTGTTGTGTGGAGCTGATGCAAGTACCGAGAAGGAGCAGTTTGAACTCGCGGCGTGCGTTTTTCTTGTCTCTCCGAAGTTGTCGCTCTATCTCGTCGTTGATTCTCCGAGCTTCGTTGGCCTCCGGACTGAGGCAGCAAGCCCAAACACAACTTTGGGTCATAGTCCTGCTGCACCCAGGTCTCACAGATCCATAAAAGTGATCCCCAAAACGAAACTTAAACCAAGATGGGAAAAGGGGGTATAAAGTCTCCGTGCGTCTTCTTGCGTCTCCGTGCGTCTCCGTGCGTCTTGTGCGTCTGCTGCTGCTTTCTATGTGTTTTGGACCCGTGCCCTCTTGATGTCCGGGCGTGGTGCAGTCTAGCGTTCAAACTTACATGGCTATTAAGTATTTAATAACATCCTGAAGGTTCATTACGAGCTCCAGCGAAAAATTGGCGTCTTTTCTCTCTCTCCCTCTCTCTCTTTCTCTCTCTCTCTCCCACTTCCCAGACGCTGAAGACCTCGTCCAGTAAAAAGCAAAGCGAGCAGGAGGAGCATGTGACCAGAGCAATGGCAAACCACATGGGCTTTTGTTATTGCATTATTGGGAGATATTTCCGGGTAAAAAAAAAGTCGACGCCAGCGATTGCGAATGCGAGTCCACGTCATAGATAACGTAACAGTAATACTGTATCTATGGTCCAGCTTCTGTAGTTTTTACACCTGAAAGAGTTTAGCACCACGTCTGGCTGTGGCGTAAGAGACTGCACTGGCACAGAGCGGCCGGTAGGGGGCAGTACAGAGCAGTTGGAGGTCGGGCCATGGTACTACCAGGCTCCGCGGTAAAGGAGAGCAGAGATAATTTAATAATACATCCATGAGAAGGCATGTGGCATTAGGTACGTTTATTATTTATAGCACAGTTCATACACAAGGCATTTGAAGGGCTTAACACAACAACAAAGAAGAAGACAGAAACTTTAAAATCACACAAAGCATTCAAATAATAAATAATCACGCTAATAAAATCTTTCAGTTGTCTGCACAGCTTTTTTACCTGGATTTGAACCTTGTCAGAGCAGAAGCCTGTCTCACTTTTTCAGGAAGACATATATATTTGCACTAGAGAACATTGGTCTATACCTCATATTACAGCCTTCATTAAGGTAAAGATGGATATTTTATTTTGAGTACAAGTTGTGCAATACTTAATTCACTCACTTTGTGTTGTGTGCTCCTCCTTCCACCTTTGATGCAACACTGAAATCCCCCTTTGTGGAAGATTAAAGACTCTTCATCTTCAACTTACACTACACTGCACTGCTAGACACGACACTATACTAAACTCAACACTACACTATATTCTTTACTCTTCACGCGCCAGCGTTTTTTGTATTGGGAAATAGACAATGCATAAGAAATGGTCAGAGATAGAGGACTTTACTTTTAGCAAAACTCAGAAATACATAGAATATAGTTGTGTCTGAACAATATAGGGACACAGTTGTGGGAAGCCAAGTCACTGTATAGAAAGTGTCCTGGGTTTTGGGGTCAAATTATAGGAGGCTGATTTACATGTTCACTGTACATCGTAGTAGCATGGGCTCACAATAATTGCAACAAGCTTACATTATTGCATCTTATGTTTTTTTTTCTTGGCGGTAAGGGCCTTCATATCTATTGCCATAACTATTTTATGCTTTGTGCGTCAACTGTACGTCACACATATAGCCTATGCCTGATCACACACACACACACACACACACCGCATTAAGAGTGGTCATGGAGCAGAGGGAGACCGCGCCATAGTTTCTCTCCTGCTGCACACAACAAAAGCAGAATACAAACACAGGCTTAAAAAAAATATACATATATAAACACACAGCCAGGTATTTTTTATTTTTATTTTTTTCATCTACAGCGCGTTCACATCACCACCATGCACACGCGATCACATACATGGACCACAATCACACACACACACACACACATGCACGCACAGGCTGTCTCTCTCTCTCACACACACACACACCGAGGTCTCTGAGCGACAGCGTCTGAAATCCTCGTAGACTTGAGGTCCGTGCGTCTCCTTCTTTGCGTCAACATATGGTGCAGGTAGGAAAAATCAGCATCACCTTCGCCTCTCGCATCATCCTCCTCCTCCTCCATCCTCCTCCTCCTCCTCCTCCTCCTCCTCCTCCATCCTCCATCCTCCATCCTCCAGCTCCATACTCACACACAATACATCCTTTTTTTCTTTTCTATATCTTTTGTCTCAACATCTGGCGCAACACTATTTGTTTTACTTGCACACAGGGGGGCGCGCTGAGGCAGAATCAGCATCAGCAGCAGCAGCAGCAGCAGCAGTACATGGACCACTTGACACCACCTTGCCTCACGGTAGCGACATGCAGTAGTGTGATATAGCTGCTCTGCGGAGAGAATTGCGAGAGAGAAAAGGCAACCCATGGCAACTTGAAATCCAAAAGAGGAAAAAAAAATAAAATAAATAAAAAACAGTGGATTCTACCCCATGCCTCACGACGTATAGTCTGACAGAGACGCCAGGAATCATCTGTGGTGGGGAGAGAGACGCAGCCAAGGATATAGTGGATCTATAATAACTCGGGACCCAGCCATGGACTCGGCTGCAGGGGAATATGGCATGGCTCGTGTGGGGTTGTTTTTGGCTTTGCTCGGTCTGTGGAGGTTCAGTGACGCTTGCCCCAAATCATGCACTTGCTCCAGCACCAGGGTTGTTTGTGTCGACCCTGAGCCCGGGATCGAGGAGTTCCCGTCCCTCTCCGTAGACGACATGGAAAACATCACAGAGATGTAAGTGCTAAACGGTGTCTTGTTTTTTTTTTTGACTTAATGCTGTGAAACCGTGGGTCGGAATTAGCTGATAGGATCCTCACGTTTTTTATGTATATATATATATTTTTTTATCAACAGGCCCTCAAGCAGGAGCCATGGCACCGATAACATAACATTTACTATTGACGCAAATGTTTTTTTTTTTTTTTGCGTCAGTATAATCCATACGGTGATTCTACATTCAGTGGTTCTACATTCATATACGCGTGTGCTAAATGCAAAGGTGTGCGTCGTATGTTTGCCTCTGCGTCTTTGGATCATATAGGCTTTGGTTTTTGGTGATAGCGTAAGGTTTGCGTGTGTAGTCAGTGGAGTACAGGCCAAATATCCAGCCTCATAATCATATATTTTCTCGTCTATAGTCAACTGTGGGCTGGCAGTGGAGTGTATTTTGCCTGTGGCTGGGAGGATCATGGATCTATCTATTCTATCACCAAACCTGGCGTTGGTTGTGGCCTGTGTTGTCATCGCGATACCAGCGTTTTTTTCTTTTTTCTTTATTTAAACTGTGTGTTTCAAGTTCACGCCAGACTTGCGTTGCGTTACCTGCAGAACTATACAGACGTGTGACAATGTTGCCAACATGTGGATTCGATTGTCAAGTCGATTCAGGCAAATCAAAACCTTGACAAGATCAGCTTCGATTTGGAAATAATTCAGATTAATTTATTTGCCATTTGCAGTAAAACCCCCTTGGAGTATGTGTTAAGTCCCCGGTGTGCACAAGAGACAAGTACATGAATAAAACTAGAAATAAAAAAAACACAAAACAACCGGTAACAATTGACCCTGTGAAATCAATTAACTAAAACAGCATAAAAATGGGTTAATATCCTGTTTATTTGGCATCTGCAGTAAAACCACCTTGGAATAGTATGTGCTTAAGTCCCCGGTGTGCACAAGAGACAAGTGCATGAATAAAACTAGAAAAAAAACACAGGGCAATCCATCGTCTAAAAACGCCAAATAATGGTTTCAGATACAGTTTATTTGCCATTTGCAGTAAAACCCCCTTGGAATAGTATGTGCTAAAGTCCCCAGTGTGTACCAGAAAAATGTATAGAATAAAACAAGCTAAAAAAGTGCAAGTAACAATTGTCGCTGTGAACTTCATTGTGATTGATTTGACTCTTTTTCGAGCCTCAGCACTTACAATATTTACCTTCCTTAGTTTATGGAAAACTTTTGGACATTGTTATGTTGCCGACTGCGCATATAGTACATAGATACACATGCAAATATTTATATACAGACACATAGATGTACAATCAAGCAACAGTATATGCCATATTTATCTATGTGTTTCTATTTACAATCAGTCAATCAACAAAAACAATTTCAGGTCAGTTTCACAACATCAGGCTCTATGTTCGTTTCTTAATGAATCATATCCACTGTATTATATAACGCAATTTAATTATATAGCACATTATTTAGCATATTTTTTATTAACACGTTTCCAAAGTGCGGCACAGAGATAAAAGTGATTCATTTAAATAGGTTTGCCAGCTTTATATGTATCTAAAATAGAATGGGTAAAGCAGTTATGATGTGTATAGTAAAAACAATACAAATGTAATCATGATAATAATAAAAAAAAACAGTTCTACAATACAAAAAGAACAATAAAAAAATATATAATTTAAAAAACACACACAACTCATGCTGTACGATACTACTACTTATTATTATTATTATTATTATCTTTATTGTATATTCAAAACACTGAAGCTTGAGACGAAGCTTGACGAGAACCAGGAAGTGGGAGAGGAGCACAGGGTTCATACACACAGGGACACACAACCAGAGGAGCACAGGGTTCATACACACAGGGACACACAACCAGAGGAGCACAGGGTTCATACACACAGGGACACACAACCAGAGGAGCGCAGGGTTCATACACACAGGGACACACAATTAGAGGAGCACAGGGATTAAATACACACAGGGACACACAACCAGAGGAGCACAGGGTTCATACAACACAGGGACACACAACCAGAGGAGCACAGGGTTCATACACACAGGGACACACAACCAGAGGAGCACAGGGTTCATACACACAGGGACACACAACCAGAGGAGCACAGGGTTCATACACACAGGGACACACAATTAGAGGAGCACAGGGATTAAATACACACAGGGACACACAACCAGAGGAGCGCAGGGTTCATACACACAGGGACACACAGTGACACACAGGGACACACAATTAGAGGAGCACAGGGATTAAATACACACAGGGACACACAACCAGAGGAGCACAGGAATTAAATACACACAGGGACATACAACCAGAGGAGCACAGGGTTCATACACACAGGGACACACAACCAGAGGAGCACAGGGTTCATACACACAGGGACACACAGGGACACACAACCAGAGGAGCACAGGGTTCATACACACAGGGACACACAACCAGAGGAGCACAGGATTCATACACACAGGGACACACAACCAGAGGAGCACAGGGTTCATACACACAGGGACACACAGGGACATACAGTGACACACAGGGACACACAGGGACACACAACCAGAGGAGCACAGGATTCATACACACAGGGACACACAACCAGAGGAGCACAGGGTTCATACACACAGGGACACACAACCAGAGGAGCAGAGGGTTTGAATACACACAGGGACACACAACCAGAGGAGCACAGGGTTCATACACACAACAACACACAGGGACACCTGCCTCGCACCAAAGTACATCTGTGACATGTTAGTGCCATATGAACCAAGTCTGAGGAGCACAGGGACTGGCCTCCTGCTGACACTCTGAGGAGCACAGGGACTGGCCTCCTGCTGGGACTCTGAGGAGCACAGGGACTGGCCTCCTGCTGGGACTCTGAGGAGCACAGGGACTGGCCTCCTGCTGGGACTCTGAGGAGCACAGGGACTGGCCTCCTACTGAGACTCTGAGGAGCACAGGGACTGGCCTCCTGCTGGGACTCTGAGGAGCACAGGGACTGGCCTCCTACTGAGACTCTGAGGAGCACAGGGACTGGCCTCCTACTGAGACTCTGAGGAGCACAGGGACTGGCCTCCTGCTGGTTCCAGAGTCAGGAGAACACCGCAAAAAGTTCTTGAAAAATAATCTCAAATTTGGCAAAATATGTCTTAATTTGAGTACTTTCTGACTGCCTTTAAATAAGATTACCCAATGGGACAAAGCAAAATTATTAAATTAAGGTACAAGAAATGTCTCCCTTGGAATGAGAAAATAAAGCAACAGTTCTTGAAAAAAGACGAAATGGCTTTGTCCCATTGGAGAATCTTGTTTTAACACAGTCAGAATGTGCTCAGATTAAGATAAAAAGCCATTATTACCTTATATGTTATCTTTGTTTGCTGTGTACACATGGGGTTGCAGCATTTCAGATTTATGTAACTAAACTTCAGTAGCTCAGTTGGTAGAGCATTGGCCTTAAGGCCAGAAGGTCGTGGGTTCAATTCCCACCTCTGCACCTTCTCCACCGACTCCCACTGATGACTGCTGTCGTTGTGTCCTTGGGCAAGACACTTAACCCCACTTTGCCCAAAAGCCCCCACTGAAAGATCAAGGCTATGCTCACACTCAGAGAGCAGCCGTCCTCCTGTGGACTCACCACCTGCAGAGGGTCAGTGAGGGGCTGGTGCTATGAGACTTGGGTGGCATCTCTGATTGCCACCCCCCTGACCCAGAAATGGATTAAAGGGTAGAAAATGGATGGATGGATGGTAACTAAACTTCCTTAAAATGTGAGACAGGCTTCTTCTCTGACAATGTTTAAATCCAGGGTAAAAACAGTTCTGCTGCAACTGAAGGAATGTATTGTCACGCTTTTTAATGTACCGTGATTATTTATTCATGATTCTAATGCCTTGTGTGGTTGCTGTGAGTTGCCTTGTGTGTGAACTGTGCCATACAAATAAACTTGCCTTGCCTTCATTTCTTTTGCAGATATATTTCTGATCAAAACAGACTCTTTGTTATGGATGACAGCAGTTTAAAGCGTTACATCAACCTCAGAAACCTGTAAGTATAAAGTCAAAGTGTGAGTGGCCAACTGTGAGTGGGAGTGGCCGGCTGGGAGTGGGAGTGGCTAACTGTGAGTTTGCGTGGCTGGCTGGGAGTGGGAGTGACTGACTTGGAGTGGCCAGCTGGGGGAGTGGGAGTGGCCAACTGGGAGTGACCAACTGGGAGTGGGAGTGACGTCTGGGAGTGGCCATCTGGGGAGTGGGAGTGGCCAACTGGGAGTTCGAGTGGCCGGCTGGGAGTGGGAGTGACTGACTTGGAGTCCCCTGCTGGGGAGTCGGAATGGCCAACTGGGAGTGGGAGTGACCATCTGGGAGTTCGAGTGGCCAGTTGGGGGAGTGGCCACCTGGGGAGTGGGAGTGGCCAACTGGGAGTGGGATAGGCCAGCTGGGAGTGGGAGTGACCATCTGGGAGTTCGAGTGGCCAGTTGGGGGAGTGGCCACCTGGGAGTGGGAGTGGCCAACTGGGAGTGGGATAGGCCAGCTGGGAGTGGGAGTGACCATCTGGGAGTTCGAGTGGCCAGTTGGGGGAGTGGCCACCTGGGAGTGGGAGGGGCAGGCTGGGAGTGGCCGGCTGGGGAGTGGGAGTGGCCACCTGGGAGTGGCCGGCTGGGGAGTAGGAGTGGCCAACTGGGAGTGGGATAGGCCAGCTGGGGAGTGGCCATCTGGGGAGTGGGAGTGGCCGGCTGGGAGTGGGTGTGGCCAACTGGGAGTGGGAGTGGCTTGTTTTAAAGCAGTCAGAATGTGCTCAAATTAAGAAAAAATTCTCCAAATTTGAGCAATTTCTGACTTTTCATCACTTTTTGCTGTGTACTGTTCTGTAACGGACAATGCAACACTGAAATTTCCCCAAATTGTTGGATGAGTAAAGTATCTCTTAATGAATAAAACGGCTTTCTTTCTTTCTTACAGCACAGTCACGAGAACAAAGCTGACCAACATTTCCGTCGATGCATTTTACAACAACACCAGACTCCAGTATTTGTAAGTATTTTTTCTTACAAGTTTGAATCTGTTTGAATTGAATTTAAAGACCTTATGACGGGTTTGATTTATTTAGAAATACAGTTTTAATACCATTTTATATTAGAAGAGAACTACTAAAGGTTTCAAAATCAGTTGTTGTTTTTTTTTGTCTGATCCCTCCAAATCGAAATAACCCCATAGCAACGCCCTTAGAGACGAAAAAACTTCACAGCCCTTGGTGACGTCAGAACGGGTACGTTTCAACGCTGTAAGTTGTTTACAATTTGGTATTCGTTCTTTTTTCGCGGATATTCAAGATGACAAGGCCGTGTACAGCGAGTCTGAGATAAATACTAGAATGTAATACTTTGTTGTCACTGAGATAGTCCAGTGGTTGTGTCGATGGACTGACATTCCAGAGACTGGGGTTCAAATCCCACCTCGGACACTTTTCACTCTCAAAACGGCAATTTATGTGTAGTGAGCAATTGTCACCTGTAGAGTGCAGTATTGTGTTGGGCATCAGTGGAGAGAAGAGAGAAAAGTCCTGTGGCATAGATCCATGGTTTTCAATGCATGAGCGTAACCCGCTGTGACGTCACACACAGGTTAGAGCATAGACAACTTAAATTCATGAAAAACACGTTCTTTTTATAAAATATAGGATTTTTTTTGCCGGAATCTCTTTCAGATCGACATTGTCATGCAATTTTGATATCCACTATATATTTTTTTTTAAACCCGTCATAAGGTCTTTAAAGGAACAATATGTAAAAATCTGGCCAAAAGTGGTACTGCAGCCTCTCCCACTCTCCCTGACTCAGGTTGCCAGATATGCAGACGAATCCAGCTGAAACTAATTTTATCTCGGCTGAAAAGCATGGTCCATTAACGCCTTTTGACAGATTAGGGCCATTTAATGCTAGATTGACATGAAAATGTCAATGTGCTACTTTAACTTTATTATTTTACGTACCAGAGACTTACGGGACAACAACATATCGACTCTATCATGGAGAATATTTCAATTATTGAATTCGTACACGTGAGTAAACAAACAAAAACGGCTGATGTATGTGTTTTAGACCAGTATTACGTTGACAATTCCCCTTTGCTTCAGACTCCTCTTATCTGGCAACCCTCTGGACTGTGTCTGTGAGAACTTATGGATCAAACTGAGACCCCAAGAAGAAGTGGAGAGCCAGGAGCTGAAATGTATCGACGAGGCAGGACTTTCACACGCCTTCTTCACCCTCACGCCACCAGACTGCAGTAATGTCTCTATATTTCTCTTCCACACAAAAAAATCGATTCTGTTCAGTATCGCGATTTTCGCCGCATTACGATAAATCGATGCAGTGGAGCATGCAGACTCAGAAATGATTCTCAATTATCACACTGCAAAAGTGAGCAAATATGAAGTAATCCGTGCTGAAATCAAGTGTTTTTTTTTTATAATTTGAACATATTCTAATCTTCTTTAGTCTGAGCTGTTGCATTTATTTTCTTATTCCAAGGGCGACGTTTCTTGTATCTTATTGAAACAAGATAATTTTGCTTTGTCCTATTGACAAATCTTGTTTTAAGACAGTCAGAATTTTTGGCAAATTTGAGCAATTTTTGACTTTTTATAATAATTTCTTGCAGTGCATAATTACAGTAGTTTTCAGCATTGATAGTAATGAGGCTGATATGGCATGTTATACTTTTTATTGTTACTTATATTTATATTTCATATCAATATAATATGTTTTTATTTATTTTCTCGGGAAAACAACCATATCATTGAATCCGTTCTAAAATGTCACATGTAAGCTCAGAGATTTTCCAGAATTTTAGGAAAGAACCACCCTCACAGGGAACGGCTATTATCACCAGAATGATTGACAACTTAACATAATACTGCCTTTGAATAATTTAATAACATGAGGGACATGAATCACGATATATCGCAAAATTGAATCGCAATACTTGTATTGCAGGAATCGCAATAATATTGAATTGAGGCCCAAATATCGTAACACTATCAAATTCTTACATTTTTGCCACTTTATTCCCTCCACTACTGCCTTTGTGGTGTGGACACGTTTAAGATGTTTGCATAATTCAAAAATCAGCAGAAGGGTTTGGGTTTGTCTGTATGTCTGTACTTTTTTATTGTCACAAAAAATAAAAAATAAATACAAAAATGTAATCTTATCTACGTATGATTTTGAACGTTTTGTTAGGTTTTCTTGTGTATGAATAAAACTTGCCTTGCCAAAAAAAAAAAAATAATAATAATAATAATAATCAGCAATAATTCATATACAGTATACACTTCTTTTAATGCGACTTGCAGAAATCCCCAGAGTCGTGGTGGCTCCGACCACCGTGACAGAGATGGAGGGTCACGACGTTCGGGCCTTGTGCAAAGCCTCCGGGTCTCCAGCTCCGCAGATCGAGTGGAACAGCGACGTGCTCTACACCCACAACGAGGTGAGTGCTCTCCCCTTCGTCCTCGGCTCCTTGCGGTCGCCTCGTGTCTGAAAATAAATGCTTTTTTTCACTTTGAGATCGAGGGGACGAACACAGAGAGCAGCCTCACACTCTTCGGCCTCTCTCCCGCCGATAACGGTCGCGTGATCACGTGTAGCGCTGAGAACATGGTCGGCCAATCAGAGGCCACGCTGCAGCTCAACATCCTCTGTGAGTAATCCCTGTAAACAATGATTATGTATTATTTTATGTTTAAGGCTTAGGGCAGACCTGGGTAAAACGCAGCCCCGGGAGCCACAGACGGCCGATTCACATTTCTATGCGGCCGCCGGACCCTTCTCAGATCAAAACTCAATTCACTAATACTGAAGGCTTGTAACAGTGGCATAAAGAAAAGAACCCAAAACGAAGAACTGCAAAAAATGATGGATTTAATAAAATATAATAGAAAACAAAACCCAGAGAAAACTATAATAACAGTAGATCAGAGATACTTGGATTTCAAACTTAGTTTTACGGCCCCTAAATCTTGTAAAGAGGCGACAGTGGCTCAGTTGGTAGAGCATAGGCCTGAAGGTCGTGGGTTCAAATCCACCACGAGACCTACTTAACGACTCCCACTGATTACAGCTGTCGTTGTGTCCTTGGGCAAGACACTTAAGCCCACTTTGCCCAAAGCCCCCGCTGAAAGATCTCAGCTCCTGTGGACTCACCACCTGCAGGAGGATCAGTGAGGGGCTGGTGCTCTGTGTCCTGGGTGCAGCTCTGACTGCCACCCCCCCGACCCAGAAATGGATTAAGGGGAAGAAAATGGATGGATGGACGGATAAATCTTGTTATTGTTTTCATTTTTGTGTCCCGCCCTCCACCGTTTTACCAATCAGAAAGTCCGAGATCCGTGTAGCCAGAACTCACCGCATCGAGCTAATCTCACTGGTAAAGCACCATGTGGCCGCAGAACTAAAAAAAAGTCTTGTTATGATTCTCAAATCATTAACGACAAAACAAAAGAATAAAACAAGGATTTTGGGGCCTTTGTGAAAAAGGTGTTGGTTATAGATTTGTTGTTGACAAAACTCTTGTCTATTCAGCTTGTATGGTCCTGGCTGGATTTGTCTGCATATCTGGCAACCTGAGTCAGAGAGAGAGTGTAGTACCACTTTTCTCCAGATGTTTAGATATTGCTCCTTTAAATAGTTCAAACTTCTTTCACTACACATTTGTTTTATCAAAAGAACCTTCTAAGCCTTATCCAATGTGAGTACATCTCTGTTTTAATGCGTTTTACTGGATCATAATGACTGTTCCTCTCGTAAACAGACTTTTTCCCCAGTTGATTATGTCCAGCTCATGTTAATGTATGTTTTTCCAGTCAGTGATTGGCTCCTGGGTTTAATGTGGTTACTGTCATTGCACAACTGTGTTCTAATTCTCAAGACTTCCTGTTTATGTGACCTCCTCCTGTAGAGTTCCTCATTTCTCCCGTCCCTCCTTTACCTTTATTCGTCTTCATTTTCCCATGTTTTCATCTCAAGAGGCAACACACGACTCCACAATGTAACACAAACCACACAGGGTTGGTTAGTTCTTTTAAAAGACAAAGTAATCCACAAATATAGTGTCAGACAAGACAGATAACAGGTCTGTGTCTGTGGTCATACCTGCATAATGAAAACCTGTCAGACCTCAGGAGCTAAGCAGGACAGGGCCTGGTCAGTACTGTGATGGAAGACCTCTGGGAAGGTGCCACAGTGGGGCGGCTGCGGTTGTAAAGTACCCAAACTTTACAGCCGCATACTGTGAGTGAGTCAGGAAAGATGAGATAAGATAAAACTTTATTGATGTTACATTTGGCATCACTCTTGGTGTGAAAAAGACAGGAAATTAAGCTTATTTTTATTTTTTATTTATGTTTATTTGAACATAGAATAAATTTAAAAATCAGTAAGAACAAAAGAAAATCGAAACAAATGACAATAAATACAAGACAATAATAAAAAAAAGAAAACACTTATTCATGTTCAAAAGGAGTAGGAAGAAGCCAAAGCTTATTAAATCCTACCCCCTTTCCCCATGTTAATTCAATATAAGATGGAAAGCTTAGATTAAGATGAATAGATCCTTTATTCTTCCCATGGAGGAGAAATGTCAGTGTTGCATCACAGTAGGAATGAGGAGCACACAACACAAGATAAATGAATAATATCTCTGTGCTAAAATAAAATAAAATCTCCAACTCTAGCGTAAAAAGAAGCAGAATGAAATGTGCAAACATGTTAAAAGTGGAAAAGATATATAGGGCATAAATGTGCAATCATGGTATTTTATGTACAACTAAAGTGGGTGTGAATGGTCAGCAGCACAGAATGGCAGCCAAACTGACGCCAGACTGCCTCAGGGCGCCCCACTCTCTGATCCTCTGTTGTTGCCAGTGTGTGATCACTTTCCTATTGCCTCCCTGTCAGTCGCCCCGTCCATACAGCAGCTGCTGGCCCCCGAGCGAGACCACCACTGGTGCATCCCCTTCAGCGTGGTGGGAAACCCCAAGCCCGATCTGCACTGGTACCACGAGAACGTCCCTCTCCAGGAGCAGGACTACATCCGCACCATGATCCACGAGTCCACCGACAGCGAGGACCACGGCTGTCTGCAGCTGGTCAACCCCACGCACATCCACAACGGCGTTTACAGACTGGTGGCCAAGAATGAGTATGGCCGCGACGACAAGAACATCACCGCCCAGTTCATCAAACCGCCCAAACTGGACTCCCCCGGTACAGATCCCTTCATTTCTATGTGTGTTTGTCATGGTGTGGTTTTGTCGTTTTTTTTGTACTTAAAGTAGCCATATAGAAGATTCTCATGTCAAGTCATCATTAAAGGGCCCTAATCTGTCAAAAGGCATCACTAAAATATGCTCTTTTCCAATACTTCTTTAACTGATAACTGTAGTTCAGATATATTTGGATTTAAAAATTAGTTTTCCAGCCCCTAAATGTTATTGTTTTCATTTTTCGATGTCCCGCCCTCCACCGTTTCACCAATCAGAAAGTCTGTGATCCGGGCGCCACAACTCCCCGCCTCAAGCTAATCTCACTGGTACAATACAATACAATACAATACAATTTATTCTTGTATAGCCCTAGGTCACAACAGAAGTCATCTCAGAGACTTAACAAAACCATTGAAATCACCAACACAGGTCAGAGAATCAACAGTTAAAACACATGAAGAATATAAAGCACACACAGAAGAAAATGTCCATACATGTTGTAGAATGCTAAAGTGTCCTGATCATCACCAATCCTTTCTGTTGGACACTAACTGTCCAACAAGACCCTCCTGCATCGACAAGGAAAAACTCTTAAAAAACCCAGTGGGAAAAAGTGAGAAACCTTGGAGGAGAACTAGGGAAACCCACAGGGAGGGAGACCCATATGAGAAAGGGATCCGCTCCTCCGGACGGACAGGCTAATGATCTAGGACCTAAGCTAGCTACAGAACGTGGACCAGTGGCCGCTGAACGTGGACAGGTCCGGTGCAGGACCGAAGCACTCCCAGGCGGGTCGGGCGGGGCAGTCCGCAGGTGTAGATGGAAGAGGCCAGGCTCAGAGATCCCGTCATCGTACCATGAAACAGACAATGGGACAACGGGTGAATAGCAATGAACAAACTACAGTCAGAATCCTAAAAATGCTAAACAGATAAAGTAGGAAGGAGGAGAGGATAGTGCTCAAGTTACCATACTTCTCCCAGCAAACTGACTCCCTATGCAGCTTGACTAACACTCTGAGGAGTTTAACCTTCTCCGAGTCTTACCTTCCTAGCCATATGCTAAACTAAAGAGGACTGTTTTAAACCTAGCCTTGAATAAAGAATAACATACAGCATAATATATAACATAATATACAACATAACACAATACATTATTGAATAATATATAACATAATATATAACATAATACAGCATATATATATAATATATACACTACATATTATATATTACCTAATTATATGCTAAATTAAAGTAAAGTGCTTTAAGCCTGGCCTTGAATGTGGAGACCGTATCTGCTTCCTTAACATAAATGGGAAGCTGATTCCACAGTAAAGGAGCTTGGTAGCTAAATGCTCTGCCACCAACAGTGACCTTTGAGACCTTAGGGACCACCAGACGTCTGGCGTTTTGTGAGCGCAACGCTCGACCTGGTTGATACGACACTAACGTGTCTTGGAGATAAGAAGGAGCCAAGCCATTTATGGCTTTATATGTTAAGAGTAGGATTTTAAACTTTATTCTGTACTCCACAGGGAGCCAGTGGAGTGATTTTAACACCGGAGTTATGTGCTCCCTCCTTTTGGTACCTGTTAAGATCCTAGCTGCTGTATTCTGAACGAGCTGGAAGCTCTTCAAAGAGGCTTTAGGGCACGCTGCCAGTAAAGCGTTACAGTAGTCGAGCCTTGAGGTGACAAACGCGTGAATGAGTTTTTCCGCGTCACTTTTAGGAAGGAAATTCCTAATTTTAGCGATGTTCCGTAAGTGGAAGTACGCCGTTTTAGTTGCTTGGCTTATATAAGCCTTGAAGGAGAGTTCTTGGTCAAAAATGACTCCAAGATTCCTCACAGTGTTACTGGGTATTATACTGACATTATCGAGAGTAACCATCTGGTTAGTGAGGGTGGTAAAGTGCTTTACCATGCGCCACATGGTAAAGCACCATGTGGCGCAGAACTAAAAAAGTCTTGTTGTGATTCTCAAATCATTGACGACAAAACAAGGAATAAAACCAGGATTTTTATCTTTGTGAAAAAGGTGTTGGTTATAGATTGGTTGGGAACACAGCTCTTGTCTACTCAGTTATTATGGTCCCAGCTGGATTTGGCTGCATATCTGGCAACCTGAGTCAAATAGAGTGCAGTACAATTTCTGTGCTTTTGTTTTTTAGTTTGACTTCCTGTTCCTCCGTCTTGATTGTCTGCCCTGTCACTCCCAAATTCGTCCCGGAAACCGGATTCGTCCGGAAGTTTAGTTTGATCCAATGAGCATACGCAGCAGTAGATTACATCACGGAATCTGGACGGAAGCGGAAGTAAATATAAAAAAACTACCTATTCATGCCTAAACTTAACCAGCCATTCCCATAAAAAAACCCCAACCCAGCCTTAACCCTAAACTTAACCATCTTACTCAGACGCTTAAACTTAACCAGTCTCCACTTAAGGACATATTAAACTTTTTGACATGCGCAAACTGAACTTCCGGACGAATCCGGTTTCCGGGACGAATCCGGGAGTGACATGCCCCACTCTCATGTGTTTCACCTGTACCTCTGTCCATTTGTACCTGTGTGTCACTCCCGTATTCGTCCCGGAAACCGGATTCGTCCGGAAGTTCAGTTTGCGCATGTCAAAAATCATAATAAGTCCTTAAGTGGTCACCACTAAGTAAGATGGTAAGATCTAAGTAAGATGGTTAAGTGGAGGGTTAAGGCTGGGTTGGGGTTATTTTATGGGCTGGTTAAGTGTAGGCATGAATAGGTAGTTCAATAAGTAAATGAAAAAATATGGTAAAGGTGTTATATTTATTTATAAATATCGTAAGTAAGTAATGTTTATTTATATACCGCCTTTCACAGACAAGGGTCACAAAGCGGTTTACAATTGTTATTATTTTTTTGGGCATTTGTCTCTCACTCCACACAGAGATGGGAGCGGGGTCGCCGAACAGGAGGCGCATGCCAGATCTATTGTACATATTTTTAGTGGTAGGGGAAACCGGAGTACCCGGAGGAAACCTACGCAGACACGGGGAGAACATGCAAACTCCTCTCAGAAAGGCCCTGGTCCGACCGGGATTCGAACTCAGGACCTTCTTGCTGAGAGGCGAGAGTGCTATCCACTCAGCCACCGTGCCGCCTATCGTCCCGGAATCCGGTTTCCGGGACGAAAACGGGAGTGACACTGTGCTCCTCTCCCCTTGTTGCTGGTCCATTGCCTTTGTCCATCTGTTTTCCTGGTTCCTGTTCGGATTTTGAGTTTGTTTTTTACCTTTCCTTCGTTTTGAGTCCTCCTCCTTTCCACCACATGACAACTCATGTACAGCCCTAAATCACAACAGTAGTTATCTCTGTGGACTTTAGACGGCGATTCACCAACAACAAGAAATGCAATGAAAGAAACCCCCACATTGAGTCCATAACCCCGTACAACACATGTCTGAAAATTGTTTATATAAAAAATTATCTGAAATTGAAATTGCAGCAGATAATAAAGAAGAAAAAAAACTATGGGAAAATCCTATGTTGGGTTTGCTTATGACTTGACTTTTTAGCACGAGAACATTTCATCATTCTCTTTATACTCCACTCTGTCCAGTCTTAACCTGGAGACCTGAGGATATGGGTGGAGTCTTGTGTGCTCCTGCTTGGAAGGAAAACCTGCCCTTTCTGGAACCCAGTAAACGACAATAGATCATAGAATCAAACCGTTCAAACACAATAAATGCAATAATAAAAACACACAGAACCATTGGTCCATAAGGGGCAGAGACCAATGTCTATAAATGTTGATAAAGTCGATAAATGTCGTCGAATGTCGAGAGTCTTGTATCAAAAAAACGTTAAAGTCCGGTGGGAGAAAATGAGAAACCTTGAGGAGACATTGTAATATTAATGAGACATTTTAATAATAATGCATTTTCTTTAAATTGCACCTCACACACCCAGGAAACCTCAAGTGCTACAGTTTAAAATACAGAGCAACAGACAAAAAAAACAAAAACAAGTTTAAGGTGTATAGGAGGGTATTCCACATTTTAGGAAAGAAACACCCTCTCCACTTTTTGCGCAGTGCTCTGTTTGCTTGATATGACACTAACGTGTCTTAAAGATAAGAAGGAGCCAAGTTTATTCTGTTCTCCACGGGAAGCCAGTGAAGTGATTTTAACACCGGAGTTATGTGCTCCCTCCCTTTGGTGCCTGTTAAGATCCTTACTGCTGTATTTTGAAGATGCTAGAAGCTCTTCAAAGAGGTTTTAGGCCACGCTGCCACTAAAGTGTTACAGCCTTGAGGAGACAAAAGCGTTGATCAGTTTTTCCACGTCACTTTTAGGAAGGATAACCCTAATTTTAGCAATGTTCCATTATCATTATCACCAGAATGATTGACAGATAGGAGGACCAATAGTCTTGCAGATCCACCCGGAAGTAGATAATCCTCTTATAAACATCTTTATGGACCAATTGACAAGAACACATTTATTGTATTTAATCTTGGTATAAATCCCAGAAAGGACAAACTTCCAGGTTACTTAGAATAGATTCAGTTGAATACCAGGAGAGAGAGGGAGGCCACACATGGTTCAGTTAGTACCAGGAAACACTGGTTAATACTAATGACTGGTTAGTGAATGTCTTTGAAATTACTGATATTTTTTATTCTATTTTTCAGATGATGGCGATTACTACGGTGAGTACAGAGTAAAAAACACATTGAAATATTGTTTTTTCATACAACTGTTAATCGAACTGTTGTTGTTCTGTCTTTGCAGATGCCACAGGTACGAGTCCAAATGATCTGGAAATATGTCTTTGAATGTGACAAGTGTAAAATGTATATTTTTTTTTATGTGTTTTTGCAGAACCTTCACCGCTGGACGATAGTGTCGCTGTATGTAATCTTTAAATGTACTTTAGCATCACACCATGTTTTTATACACACATACACATGCATATATACACACATGGACACATGCACACATACAGACTATATACCGAGACACGCTAACGTATACCGAGACATGCTAACATATACCAAGACACGCTAACATATACCGAGACATGCTAATGTATCACGAGACACGCTAACATACAAAGACAAGCTAAGGTATACGAGACACGCTAACATATACAGAGACAAGTTAACGCATACCGAGGCATGCTGACATATACCGAGACACGCTAACGCATACCGAGACACGCTAACGCATACCGAGACACGCTAACGCATACCGAGACACGCTAAGGCATACCGAGACACGCTAACGCATACCGAGACACGCTAACGCATACCGAGACACGCTAACGCATACCGAGACATGCTAACATATACCGAGACATGCTAACGCATACCGAGACATGCTAACATATACCGAGACATGCTAACGCATACCGAGACATGCTAACATATACCGAGACATGCTGACATACAGGTATACCGAGACACGCTAACATAAACCGAGACAAGCTAACCTGTTCTCTTCTTTTCCTGCAGGTGTACGTTGTTGTTGGAATAGCCGGCGTCGCTTTGACAGGCTGTGTGTTGATGGTGATTATACTAAAATACGGAAGAAACTCCAAGTTTGGAATAAAAGGTACTTCACAGTATGATATAAAATACACATTCCTGCTCCAGGGAGTTTATGTGAACAGCAGAGAGACACAGAGGAAAGGCAGGGAAATACTCAGAACTGCTTTTTATGTGATTAGGACTATTGTCAGAGCTTACAGACTAAAGCCTGGTTCACACGGCAGGATAATTGGGCCGATTTTGGACCCGATTTACCCCTACGACAATCGTAAGAACGCTCCGAATATCGTAACAAAAAATCTGATGGATTTTCCTGCCGTGTGTGGTGTGTTAAGACTGTGCTCGTCGCTCGGAAGGACTTCGGGACTGCTCCGATCTCAAATCGGGGATATCCAACATGTTGGATTGTTTTGGCCCGATTTCTCTTCGTGTGTGGTGTCCCCCAAGGACAGACGAGCGCGTTGCCATGACTGCGGCGTGTAGCCAATCAGAAGACGAGAAGAGGCGGCGAGGAAACACCGTAAAAAAAAAAAACAGTCACCGGCATGGCGCACCAGAAAGTTCGGTGGACATCAGAGATGGAGGCACTAGTTGACCTCTGGCAACACCGTGAATGTATGTATGACGTGTCGTGTAAAGCATATCATCACCGAAATGACAAGAACCTGCTGCACAAGTAGTGTTGGCATAAGCCCTGTTCGGACGGGATTAGTACTAAATGATCAAACTGATGGTTGTGTTTGTACGTTTACTTTGCACTCTGTCCTAATACAGTACAGACGTGTTGATGCAGCCGTTACTGCAGCCGGGCTTGTTGGTTTGCGCGTATGTAAAGTTTCATGTCTAGCAGTGTGTGTGATGCGTTCACAGGTCGTCCGTACAAACTGTATTGTTGAACAGCACAGACAGTACGGGCCAGAGAACTGTAGAGCAGTAAAATCCACATGTGTTTGTCCTCATGGTGTCTGTGGCTGCTGTGGTCAGACCAGAGTCTCTATAGGCTGCGTGAAGCGGAGAGGCCTGCACACTCTGTTTACTCTGAAGTCACGCTTGATCTCGAGCGATGTGAGATTTCCGGTGACCTGTGAATGCTCGGGGGTGAAATCGGTTTCGTGTGTGGTTTGCGTGATTCTGCCGTGTGGCTGCGCACCACACACTGTACGACCAAAGTGGTTAGACCCGTGATTTTTTATCTCCGTGTGTGGGGTCTCACACAGAGAAAAAAATCGGTCGACAATTTTAAAATCGTCTCGTGTGAACCAGGCTTTAGACGGATAGATACAGATGGATAGACAGATAGACAGATGGATAGACAGATAGACAGATGGATAGATGGATAGACAGATGGATAGACAGATAGATGGATAGACAGATAGACAGATGGATAGACAGATTGACAGATGGATAGATGGATAGACAGATAGATGGATAGACAGATAGACAGATGGATAGACAGATTGACAGATGGATACAGTATATAGACACTTTACTGATACTTGTAGGAGTAATTCAGGTGTCCAGCAGCAGAAACACATTCAGGCCAAACATAAATACATCCAATATTCTATAAATTACTAACAATAGTAACACAATTGTACAGTGTTATAGCCAAAGAAACCAAGGATCTATTCAATCCTTTTTTCTCCATCAGCTTTTAGTTAAGTGTTAAATTACAACATTAAAACGTAAAGCTTATACACAGGTGCAGCTTATACACAGGTGCAGCTTATACACAGGTGCAGCCTATGTGTGGACAACAGTGACTTTTTCTTCTGATTTTCTCGTGTAGTTTACAAAGAGGTTACAGTCCAGGACGTCCTGTATTTACATAGCACAATGTAATGTGGTTTTAAAGAGTAATATTTGTGTAAAGTCCACGAAGAAAACAGGTAAGGTAGTCACACTTCCTGTCTGTGTCGTACTGTAGAATTCTAGTAGCACTAAAAGACAAATACAAAGGGTAAAAAACATCACCATTCTATGTTCCCTTCTTTGAAGAGCTCTGACACGGTGCATAATGTTACAAAGTTAACTGTGTCGCTCTATTATTTTTTTTATTTTTTTTTGTGTTTTTAAAAAAGACGTTTTTTTACTTATTCATTTACTTATTCATTAATTTATTCTTTTTTTTAAAGATATAATTTTTATTATTATCATTATTATTTTTATTTTTATTTAGATTTTAATTTTAAAGTTTTTTTTCTCCTTTTCTCTTATTTTTTGTTCAAATAATTGCGCTTGTACTGTCTATGGAATGTTATGGATTATTGTATGACTGCAAAAGAAAACTAATAGAATATAAATTAGAAAACAAAAAGGAAGTTAAGACATGAAGCACTTGTGTTTTTCACTCTCCTCCTCCTCCTCCTCCTCCTCCTCTCCAGGCTCTTCCTCTGTCATCAGTAATGACGATGACTCTGCCAGCCCTCTTCATCACGTCTCCAATGGCAACAACACCCCGTCGTCCTCCGAGATGGGCCCAGACGCAGTCATCATTGGGATGACAAAGATTCCTGTCATTGAGAACCCACAGTACTTCCGTAACTCCGGCAGCATCCTGAAATCCGACACGTGTGAGTTACTTTCTCCTCGTTCCGGATAAATCCATGGAGCGACTGCACTTACACCGTGTTCGGAAATCACTGCGTCTGCTGCTGATCGAGACGCGAGACCCGGGTTCGCAACGAGATCCGGATTAGGACATTTACCAAATCAAAATCCAATCGAATGTAACACGATGCAGTAGAGGCCGAAGTGATTCTCGAGCCAAACTCAGCACATTTAAACCAGAAAGTCGACGAAAAACAGACAAAGATGTATAAAAAAACACATGTGAAAAATATTTAGGAAACATGTTGTATTCGGAATTCAGTAAAAGATGAAATTATAAATCCTTCAAAAAGATGTCACATGCACAGATTAATAAGTTATCAACCTCAGCTCAAAAAGGAAACAAGTGTTTGCTTGTGGTGGAGCAGTAAAATAAATACTTATAACAATACGATACAACACGATACGATACGATATGATATGATACAATATTAACGGCTTATTAAACGAGCGCTAGGTCTGTACAGAGAAATATCAGACCGCGGCCTTAATGCACAGACCGAGCCGTGGTGAGGTCTGATATTTCTCTGTACAGACCGAGCAAGCGAGGTTAATAAATGTTTTATTATATGACTATTTTTAATTTATGCAAATATCGATCTCTGACTTGATTTTCCTAACCGTGTTTTTAGCTTTCTGGTCTGTAGCGAAGTTGTCAATCTCTTCTTGACTGTTAGGAGTTGTGTTTTCGTTGTCATTTGCTGTTATTACTTCCTCTGGCTCTTCAAAGTCGTCGCTCATTCTTTCTTTACCGAGGAAAGATATCAAATTTGATACGCGCTGTGGACCAATTGTCATGGTAACGGTCCGAGATGGGAAAATATCAGACCGCAAATCAACCAATCAGAGCGCGTGTACGATCCAAGTCATATAATAAAATACGATACGATACGATACAATACGGTACGGTACGGTACAGAACAATATGATACAATATGATACGATACGATATGATACAATAACTACTGTGAGTATGGCACATATTAGGGGCACAGCTGAATCAATCAGAATCAGAATCATTTTTATTGCCACGTAAGTAACAGGAGGTCACAGACTTGGAAATTGCTTTGGCTCAGTGCAACAGTCAAAAAGAGATAATAAAAATAAGAATAAAACACACTTCTAAAGAATACATTTAAATTTAAAATAGAGTTACAGTGAAAAGATCTCAGCTCCTGTGGACTCACCACCTGCAGGAGGATCAGTGAGGGGCTGGTGCTCTGTGTACTGGGTGCAGCTCTGACTGCCACCCCCCAACCCAGAAATGGATTAAGGGGAAGAAAATGGATGGATGGATGGATAGAGTTACAGTTACTATTTACAATATGCAAGTGCACATGGTGCACACAATGTAAGGTGACAGCAGTACAGTGAAGTAAAGTGACGTATGATGGGCAGTAAAGTGACTTTATAAAGGGCGGGGGGACAGGTTAAGAAGTGTTCAAGAGTCCAACAGCAGAGGGGAAGAAACTGTTCTTGTGGCGGGAGGTTCTAGTCCTGATGGACCGCAGTCTCCTGCCTGAGGGGAGTGGATGGATTAGTCCATGTGCAGGTGAGAGGGGAGTGGTTGGAATAGTCCATGTGCAGGGTGAGAGGGGTCGGCTGTGATACGACCAGCCCGGCCTCGAGCTCGGGCGACGTACAGGTCCTGCAGCGATGGAAGGCTGCGGCCGATCACTTCCTCTGCAGAGCGCACAATGCGCTGTAGTCTCTGTTTGTCCCTGACTGTGGCTCCAGCGAACCACACGGAGGAGGTGATGGAGGAGGTGATGATGGACTCGATGATGGCCGTGTAGAACTGCACCAACATCTGTGCAGGCAGCTTGGCTTTCCTGAGCTGCCGCAGGAAGTACATCCTCTGCTGGGCCTTCTTGATGAGGGAGCTGATGGTCATGTGGAAATCTTTAAAAGTCTAGACTAAACATTTACATTTAAAACCTGGACTCGAACACTGTCAGGGACGTGGCCTGTCTTACAACCTCAGGAAGACCAGATTTTATCCAGATTTTAGCTGCATAAATCTAAAATCCTGCCTCCCCATGTTTAGTCCTGACTCTGGGACCAGCAGGAGGCCAGTCCATGTGCTCCTCAGAGTCTCAGCAGGAGGCCAGTCCCTGTGCTCCTCAGAGTCCCAGCAGGAGGCCAGTCCCTGTGCTCCTCAGAGTCCCAGCATTTGAGAGTCCAAAATAGCACTATATTAAACTGACTTCTTTTTGTTTTTATTATTCCAGAGTTATAGTTAGAGTTATAGTTGTCGACTAGTTGTTGACTTCTTCGTCTTTCTGCCCTGAAGTTGTGCAGCACATCAAGAGACACAACATCGTCCTGAAGCGGGAGCTGGGAGAAGGAGCGTTCGGGAAAGTCTTTCTGGCTGAGTGCTACAACCTGACACCGGACCAGGACAAGATCCATGTAGCCGTGAAGGTAATGCAGAGACGCTATACAACCCCACTGTCAATACTGTGCATGTGTGAGTGACTTTGATTGGACGCTGGCTACTGTTCTGCCCGGTAACCAGATTTAGGGCGCTGTTTTGTCATCCTACACTGCATTACTGGCTTTTTGTGTGGTCATCTGTTTTAGTGTTAGTTTTATTTTATTTTCTTCCACTTTGTCCATTTCTGGGTCAAGTTTTATTTTCACCTTGGGTAAAAACGACAAGCCACAGTGATTAAAAATAGATAATTTTATATCCTGAATTGGGGTCTAAAAAGGTGTAAATGACGCAGGGCTGGTCAAGTTCGGAAAAGTCATCAAAATTCAGCTCGAAGATACATTACTTAAGGTTTTTTATAATCACTGCTGGATCAATTTTTACTATTTTTTTTTGTAATTTGAAGCTGGCAAACATGTATATTTAAATACTTTTTCTTCATTGTAAGATCACATTTTAAGATAATATCTTTGGATGAAATTGATTGGAAAGAATCAAAACTACATCCACAGTATTTGACAGCCCTGTTTTAAAAATGATTATGGAGCAATTGTGTGATAGTTATTGATAATGTTATTGTGTTTATTATGTCACTTCCTGGTTGGATGTAGAGGTAGTCACCATGGCGACCACAAAGTAACAAGGGCCAATTATATAGAGATTAGGAATATGAGACCTCACCTTTATCATGTTGAATGTCATCTCTGCACAGAATGTAAATAGATCTCAGTCAAGTATTTTTTTTTACCTAAAGTGTTTCTATGTAGACCCAGGACTGAGGCTGTAGATCCAGGACTGAGGCTGTAGATCCAGGACTGAGGCTGTAGATCCAGGACTGAGGCTGTAGATCCAGGACTGAGGCTGTAGATCCAGGACTGAGGCTGTAGATCCAGGACTGAGGCTGTAGATCCAGGACTGAGGCTGTAGATCCAGGACTGAGGCTGAAGATCCAGGACTGAGTTCTCCACACAGTCCCTGTAGTCCCTGTAGTCCCTTTAGCCTCAGGACTGAGCTCGTCTTGTTCTTGTGGTCTTCAGACGCTGAAAGAGGCCAGTGAGAGCGGACGCGCCGACTTCTACCGAGAGGCGGAGCTTCTGACCAACCTGCAGCACGATCACATCGTCACCTTCTACGGCGTGTGTGTGGAGAGCGACCCCCTCATCATGGTCTTTGAATACATGAAGCACGGAGACCTCAACAAGTTCCTCAGGTCGGGATCACAGGGTCACACAACACGACTCAGATAACACAATGTTATAGGATTACATGTGACATCACACCACTGAACATGTGACATCACACCACTGAACATGTGACATCACTGAACATGTGACATCACACCAGCGAACATGTGACATCACACCAGTGAACATGTGACATCACACCAGTGTACATGTGACATCACACCAGTGAACATGTGACATCACACCAGTGAACATGTGACATCACACCAGTGAACATGTGACATCACTGAACATGTGACATCACACCAGCGAACATGTGACATCACACCAGTGTACATGTGACATCACACCAGTGTACATGTGACATCACACCAGTGAACATGTGACATCACTGAACATGTGACATCACACCAGCGAACATGTGACATCACACCAGTGTACATGTGACATCACTGAACATGTGACATCACACCAGTGAACATGTGACATCACTGAACATGTGACATCACACCAGCGAACATGTGACATCACACCAGTGTACATGTGACATCACACCAGTGTACATGTGACATCACACCAGTGAACATGTGACATCACTGAACATGTGACATCACACCAGCGAACATGTGACATCACACCAGTGTACATGTGACATCACACCAGTGTAAGCGTCAAACATGGAATCATTGTTATTGCCCCGTTTCCACCAGCCCTACTCTACTCTACTGTACTTTACCCTACTGGACTCTACCGTACTCTACTGGACTCTACTGTACTCTACTCATCTCTACTTTACTCTACTCTACACTCTACTCTACTCTACTCTAAACTCGCTCGTCAGTTAAGCCAGTGAAAAGGCTTCCAATTGGGGCAGAGAAGAGTAGAGCCGAGGAGAGTAGAGTAGACTAGAGTAGAACCAAGTAGAGTACAGCCGAGTATAGACTCTAGAGTAAAGTAGAGTAGAGTAGAGGAGAACAGGTGGAAACAGGGCTTAATGTATGTACAATAAATACAGTAGAAGTGCAGTCTCTCACATATGTCTGTGTTACTGACCCTGGTCTCTTCTTCTTCCACCTCCTCCTCCTCCTCCTGCACCTCCTCCTCCCTCTCCTCCTCCTCCTCCTCCTCCTCCTCCTCCTCCTCCTCCTCCTGCACCTCCTCCTCCTCCTCCTCCTCCTCCCTCTCCTCCTCCTCCTCCTCCTCCTGCACCTCCTCCTCCTCCTCCTCCTCCTCCTCCTCCTCCTCCTCCTCCTCCTGCACCTCCTCCTCCTCCTCCTCCTCCTCCTCCTCCTCCTCCTGGCTTCACAGGTCACATGGTCCTGATGCGATCCTGCTGGCGGACGGTCAGCACAGTATCGTGGTGGAGCTGACGCCGTCGCAGATGCTCCACATCGCTCAGCAGATTGCGGCCGGCATGGTGTACTTGGCCTCGCAGCACTTTGTCCACCGAGACCTGGCAACCAGGAACTGCCTGGTGAGGGAGAACCTGCTGGTCAAGATCGGGGACTTTGGGATGTCCAGAGACGTGTACAGCACCGACTACTACAGAGTGAGTATAAATGTAAATACTTCACTTTATTTACTAATTCTTGTGAATTTATCCAACCTTTAGCTTAGGAGAGACTACACTGCAAAAAATGATCAAATATGAGGCAATAATTGCTTAAATCTAGTGTTTTTTAAATCTGTGCACATTCTGACTGTGTTAAAACAAGATTCTCCAATGGGACAAAGCCATTTAGTCTTATTTCAAGAAATGCTTTATTTTCTCATTCCAAGAGAGATAGTTAATATACATTGTGCTCAAGTTAATATACATGTTGCCAAATTTCAAACAAATGCCTTTTTTTTAATCACTTTTTGCAGCTTTCAAGGCACAAGGGTCGAAGAAAGTGATTGATTAAGAGTTTAAAATCTGTAACTTTAGCATAATAAAGAAGCAAGTCTAAAATCTCTAACTTTTTCAGAGTGACCTGAGGTGAAATAAGGACAAAGCTGCTTTCATTTCTGCCTAAACATGGAGTACATTTCACAACATTCCTTTTGCAACTCTCTGACTCTAACGTCCAAACCTTCCCTTTCATTTAGTTTACAGTTGTATTTAAGTAAGTAAGTAAACGTCAAACTTATATTTCTCAAACAGCAGAACAAAACAAACAAGACACAAACGTTTGATTTGAAAATAAAAATAATAATAAAATAAATAAATAAATACAGTTTATTTTGGATTTCAAAACAATTGCTATTTTAAAAGAAGTGGGAGGACATTTAACACTTATACATTCTCTTCAAACTTATAAATATTCTGCTTTTTCTTTGGTTTTATCCACTTTCTTACAAATGCAAATAACATGGGCATTTATCCATTGTGAGATCAATAAAGTTATCTTATCTAATCTTAAAAGACAAGTAGCTACATGTTTTTTTTAATATAGATATTTACAATTTGTTAGCGACAGGCAAGAGCTCTGGTGTTTAGCATCTGCTCTGTCTGGTGTCTTGTACAGTTATTCCAATGTGGGTTTACTGCAAATGGCAAACAAACTGAATGTGAATATGAACCTGGACAAAGAGAGAGACGTTTGGCCTCCACAGCGCCCTCCACTGGTGAGAGAAAGAACAGAAAAGCCTGAGGCAGAGTCCAGTCTGCAGGACCATAATGCAGCAGAGCTTTTCATCAAATGGAAACAGCTGCTGAGATAAAATGCTTCATGGTCAAACTGAAGAAGATTAAATGATTGTCTTTGGTGAAGGATGGTTTCTCATAAACCATAACAACAGCACAAGACACCGCGCTCTCTCTGTCTGAAACACACGACATGTATTTGATATATTTGATGTATTTCTGAGATACAGTACTGGCTGGACTCTTTTTTATATTTTATTTTCTATGTGTGTTTTATTTTTGAGTTTTTTCCTTTAGTGTTCGACGGGTCAAAGCTTCATTATTAACAAGGCAACAATTATGCGTTTAAAAATAAAACAATAACATTAAAATTAAAATATTGAAAATATATGTATATAATAGAAAAATACAATAAAATTAAAGTTTGAATAATAATATGAGCAACACTGATTATAAACAAAAACATAGCGCGTGTTTGTAGCGACATTTGAAAAACATACATTAGCATCATCGCTAACAAGCAATGATCAGAGACATTGAAAAAAGTAGTGGCCTATGGTCCGGCAATTATGGTTGTTCATGGATTCAGTGAAAGTATGCCGTATGTGGACTTGCATCCAAAAGCCAGATTCTGTCAGATCTCTGAAACTGTGGAGGGCAGGGCCTGGTTAGTGCTGTGATGGGAGACCTCTGGGAACACCAGGGGCCACAGTGTCACTGTAAAGTGTCAAACTGTTGTTGTATCCTTGGGCAAGACACTGGTCTGGTGCGTGTGTGGATGGTTGGTGGTGTTCAGAGAGGCTGATGGCACATAATGGTTGTATCGCTGCTGTCAGTGTGCCCAGGGCAGCTGCGGTACACTGACAGATGGAGCTGTTTATCACCACTGTGGGAATGAATAACGTTTTGTGAAGCCATTAAAACCAATGCATTATTATTATCATTATTATTATTATTATAAACAAATCTTGCTTCCAGAAACACAGTTTAAGGATTGTGGCTCAAAACCTCTTGAGTTTGTAATCTAGATACAAAGACACATTTCAATAAGGAGGCAGTGAAGTGGAACCTTGAACTTTGAAGGCAGTCTGTCTGAGCCCCCCCCCCTTCCCCCTGACCCCTTTCCTCTGACCCCTTCCCCCTGACCCCTTCCCTCTGACCCCTTCCTCCTGACCCCTTCCCTCTGACCCCTTCCCTCTGACTCCTGACCCCTTCCCTCTGACCCCTTCTCTCTGACCTCTGACCTCTCGCTGCAGGTGGGAGGTCACACAATGCTGCCCATCCGCTGGATGCCTCCCGAGAGCATCCTGTACCGACGCTTCACCACAGAGAGCGACGTGTGGAGTCTGGGCGTGGTCCTGTGGGAGATCTTCACTTACGGCAAACAGCCCTGGTACCAGCTCTCCAACAACGAGGTACCGCCCACTGCATTCCATTTGTACTTTTTGTGACTTTGTTCTTTGTATCCTCCCTTTGTACTGAAATAAAAAAAAATATATAAATCGTTTAGACAACTCCACCCATTTACTCAGATCTCCAGGTTCAGACAGACAGAGGATGTGAGGAAATGGGTGGAGTCTGCTCTGCTCCTGCTTGGTTGGAGTGAAAACCTGCAGCCACATTAGCACTTTCCTTTGAGGACAGGTTTGACACTAATAAAACATTGAAATGACTGTAGATTCACAAAATGACCCCAAATGTGCTCATTGAGCACAGACACTGCCTCGGTTTACATGACTCCATTTGAAATACAGTTGTAAGATTGTAAACATCGAATCAAAGATGAAGCAAGAACAAAGACGCTAGATCTTTTTACCTCATTTTGGTCGAATCCCAAATTTAAAAACATAAGAGCTGTTTACTTTTATTATCTATTTTATTAACATTTTGATGATGTTTTCTAATTGACATGAGTTTGGATTGAGCCACAACTGGGACAAATATGAAAAAGATGTGATGGAAGAATGACTGTTAAATATAAATATAAATACATGAGACACAGAGCAAAAGGTTTGACTCAGACTAAAAGTAAAAATCCTTAAATATTGTGGAGACAAAGTGAAGCGTTTTGACTCCTCCCAGGTCTTCATCAAAGCAAGTGAAAATGAACAATATTTTTTTGTTCCTAATTTAACTTCTAACATGTTTGTTTGACACATTTTGAACATATGAAATGATATGGTTGTTTTCCTGAGAAACTAAGCTTTAAAGGAACAATATGTAAAAATCTGGCCAAAAGTGGTACTGCAGTCACAGTCAATATTGTGTAGTCCTCTCCCACTCTCCCTGACTCAGGTTGCCAGATTCACACCAAATCCAGCAGCAAACACAGGGAATTATTTTATCAGTTGTTTGTCTGTCTCCAGTCACATTGCCATGAGGCATGCTAATGTTGAAGCAATGTTTTGAATGAATGTTTAATTTTATTTTTTTATTTGGACATTTGAGATAAAAAACACAAAACAAAATAAAATCAAAAATCATTATCCAAAATAAATAAGCAATTGATGTCCAAAATAGGAGTGGGAAGAATGGATGTTGGAACGTATTTCTTCAGTATCAACATCAGGGTTCGCTCAAGAGGATATCACCTTTAATTTTATTTATTCCCTATTTTTTAGACAAACATGAATAAGTCCCACATCAAAAAGAGACTAACATTATTCTAATTTGGGTACATGTGGTCTTAAATGATTCTTTTTACAAATAAGCTATAATCTGCAAAACCTTCGTCTTTTACCGTTTTTAGAGCAATCTGTCCTAGAATGTGATAACATGCAATAAATACAAAAGGACTTTGTCCCGGGTTACTGCATCGTGAGCTCAAAGGTTTGACCATTAGAACACTGATTCACACGGTACAACCTACTCTGAAGAACGGACTCAGACCAGCACATTTTGCATCACATCAATTGTTCAAAGGCGTCTCGATATAAATCCTCGTTTTAGTCTTTGTTTTGTCATTAATTATTGGAGAGTCATAACAAGACCTTTTTTAGTTCTGCGCCACGTGTTACTTTACCAGTGAGATTAGTGAGCCGAGCAGAGTTCTGGAAACCCGATCACGGACTTACATGACACTTCCTGATTGGCGAAACGGCGGAGGGTAAGACATCAAAATCAAAACAATAACAACTTTTACGGGTTGTAAAACTAATGTTGATTATCAAATATCTCTGCTGAACTACTGTTATCAGTTAAAGATGTGTTTGAAAAGAACATGATTTAATAACGACTTTTGAAATATTTGGGCCATTTAATGATGACTTGACATGCAAATATTACATACTGCTACTTTAAAATCAGAATCAGAATAATTTTTATTGCCACGTAAGTAACAGGAGGTCACAGACTAGGAAATTGCTTTGGCTCAGTGCAACAGTCAAAAAGAGATAATAAAAATAAGAATAAAAAACACTTCTAAAGAATAAATTTAAATTTAAAATAGAGTTACAGTTACTATTTACAATATACAAGTGCACATGGTGCACACAATGTAAGGTGACAGCAGTACAGTGAAGTTAAGTGACGTATGATGGGCAGTAAAGTGACTTTATAAAGGGCGGGGGGACAGGTTAAGAAGTGTTCAAGAGTCCAACAGCAGAGGGGAAGAAACTGTTCTTGTGGCGGGAGGTTCTAGTCCTGATGGACCGCAGTCTCCTGCCTGAGGGGAGTGGTTGGAATAGTCCATGTGCAGGGTGAGAGGGGTCGGCTGTGATACGACCAGCCCGGCCTCGAGCTCGGGCGACGTACAGGTCCTGCAGCGATGGAAGGCTGCGGCCGATCACTTCCTCTGCAGAGCGCACAATGCGCTGTAGTCTCTGTTTGTCCCTGACTGTGGCTCCAGCGAACCACACGGTGATGGAGGAGGTGAGGATGGACTCGATGATGGCCGTGTAGAACTGCACCAACATCTGTGCAGGCAGCTTGGCTTTCCTGAGCTGCCGCAGGAAGTACATCCTCTGCTGGGCCTTCTTGATGAGGGAGCTGATGGTCGGCTCCCACTTGAGGTCCTGGGTGATGGTGGTGCCCAGGAAACGGAAGGACTCCACAGAGGTGATGGGGGAGTCCATCACGGAGGGTGGGGGCGGGGGGACAGTGCTCTTCCTGAAGTCCACAATCATCTCCACTGTCTTCTGGGCGTTCAGCTCCAGGTTGTTACCACTGCACCAGGACACCAGCCGGTCCACCTCCCTCCTGTAGGCGGACTCATCGTTGTTGGAGATGAGTCCAATGAGGGTGGTGTCGTCCGCGAACTTGATCAGCTTCACGGAGTCGTGGCTGGAGGTGCAGTGGTTGGTGTACAGGGAGAAGAGCAGGGGAGAAAGAACACAGCCCTGTGGGGCTCCTGTATTTATAATCCGAGAGTCCGAGACATTCTTCCCCAGACGCACTCGCTGCTTCCTGTCCGTCAGGAAGTCAGTGATCCACCTGCAGGTGGAATCGGGCACGTTGAGCTGGGAGAGCTTGTCCTGGAGCAGGGATGGCAGGATTGTGTTGAAGGCAGAGCTGAAGTCCACAAACTGGACCCTGGCGTAGGTCCCCGGGGAGTCCAGGTGCTGTAGGATGTGGTGGAGGGCCAGGTTAATGGCGTCGTCTACAGATCTGTTGGCTCTGTAGGCGAACTGCAGGGGGTCCAGGAGGGGGCAGGTGAGGGACTTGAGATGGGAGAGAACCAGGCGTTCAAATGACTTCATGACGACAGACGTAAGTGCTACAGGTCTGTAGTCATTGAGTCCTGTGATCCTGGGCTTCTTCGGGACGGGGACAATGATGGAGGATTTGAAGCAGGCCGGGACATGGCAGGACTGCAGAGAGGTGTTGAAAATGTCAGTGAACACAGGAGTAAGCTCACTGGCGCAGTATCTCAGAGTGGCCGGAGACACGTGGTCCGGGCCAGGAGCTTTGCGGGGGTGCAGCCTCAGGAAGAGTTGTTTAATCTCTTTAGCGGCTATTGTTAGGCTGGGGGCAGGGCTGATGGGTGGGTCGTTAGAGTAGTGGGGGGTGGGGGAGGGAGAGGTGTCAGGGGCAGCATCAAAGCGACTGAAAAATAAGTTCAGATCGTCAGCTAGCTTGTGGTCGTCAGCACAGGGGGGGGCTTTGGGTTTGTAGTTGGTGATCTCCCGTAGGCCCCTCCAGACAGAAGCAGTATCGTTGTTACCAAACTGCTCCTGTAGTCGTTCTCTGTGCCGGGACTTGGCTGCTTTCAGTTCTTTCCTGAACTGATATTTAGCTGCTTTGTAGCCGCTGCGGTCCCCCTCCCTGAAAGCAGACTCCTTTGCTTTCCTGAGCTGCCGGAGTTTAGCAGTGAACCAGGGTTTGTCGTTGTTATAGATGACCCTGGTCCTTGTTGGAATGATGCTATCCTCACAGAAGTGAATGTATGACGTCACAGTGTCCGTATATTCATCCAAACTATCTGTGGCAGCTCTGAAAAGGTCCCAGTCTGTAGATTCCATGCACGCGCGCAGCTCTTCCACAGCTTCATCAGACCACACTTTGGAGCTCCTCACTGCAGGTTTCGAGAGCTTTAGTCTCTGTCTGTAAGCAGGAACCAGATGTATCATGGAGTGATCTGAGAAGCCGAGGGCTGGCTTGGGAACAGCGCGAAAAGCTCCGCGCACGGTGGTGTAACAGTGATCCAGAGTGTTCTCCTCTCTGGTCGGGCATTTGATAAACTGTCTGTATTTGGGTAATTCCTGGCTCAAGTTTCCCTTATTAAAATCCCCCAGGATAATAATCAGAGAGTCCGGGTATAAACGTTCCATACACAGTACTTGCTCTGCGAGTGCGCGCTGAGCCTCGCGCGCGTCCGCGTATGGCGGTATGTAAACAGAGGCAAGAATGAATGAAACAAAATGAAGTATAACATGCCATAGCCGCCCATTACATCAATGCTAACATCAACTAATGTAATAATGACGATTGAAAATCATTTCAGGGCCCGCTAAAAAATGGTCTCGCGGCCGGAGTTTGCCCGTGGGCCTGAGTTTGGCCTCTCACACACGTCTGTCACATGTATCTGTTATTGATCTGAGTCGCCCTCTTTACCTTATACAGTATCCAATTTCAGGAAAAAAGCAAAAAAGAAAAGGGTAAATTGACAACACATGTATTGACTGTTATATGATCCTGCTTTGGAAGGAACAGGCGACTGAGAAAAAGGCTCGGTGTGAAGACCCTGAGCTCAGTAAAACACCAGTGAAAGACCTTTGTTTACCTATTTGTACTTTTGGTGAATACTGCTCCATTTACAAGAGTCAAGTCTGGGGGAAGAACTCTCACAGAACTCCCACAACAGTCAATTTGACGGCTTTTCGTTATAACCGTGTATGTGTAAATGTATGGTCTTCATAAGGGGCGGCACGGTGGCTGAGTGGATAGCACTCTCGCCTCTCAGCAAGAAGGTCCTGGGTTCGAATCCCGGTCGGACCAGGGCCTTTCTGAGTGGAGTTTGCATGTTCTCCCCGTGTCTGCGTAGGTTTCCTCCGGGTACTCCGGTTTCCCCTACCACTAAAAATATGTCCAATAGTTCTGGCATGCGCCTCCTGTACTGGCGACCCCGCTCCCATCTCTGTGTGGAGTGAGAGACAAATGCCCAAAAATTGACAATTGTAAACCGCTTTGAGACTCAGATCTGCAGTGAAAAGGCGGTATATAAATACAAACTTACTTACTTACTAACTTACTTACTTACATAACTTGTGACTTTTTCAGTTTCTACATGTAGTTTAATTCCAAAAAAAAAACAGCCTCAGCTTGGAGCCAGTGCTGGTTACCATAGCAACACAGCAGCCAGTATTTAGTTTTGACGTATTTTTGTGATATTAACCACGTTTATTAAGTATTAGTTGGAGTTTAGTGTCTGAAAACAAAAGGTATTTCAGATTACTTTTTTTTTGTCTGTATACGATAAGAATGTACTCGTTTTAAGCATTTATCACCTCATATTTTTATCACTGAGTTTTAATTATTACTTATTACTTGCTGGATGATTAAACTCACCTGTTTAGATTTGTCCCAAAAATAATAATAATAAATCATTATTTGCATAGCCCTTTTCAAAAACAATTTTTACAAAGCACTGCACAGTCAGCATGATATACTTTAAAACAGTCAGAAAACAAAGTCAGAATAATTAGATAGAATAGATACAGGACGACAAGTCAAAGAGGAAACACAAGAAATGAAAACAAAGACAAAGCAGACGGTAAAATACAGCATGAGAAGTTTAAAACTAACAGTTAAAAGCTGTTTGATAAAAGTGGGTTTTTAGAAGTGATTTAAAAGAAGATATCTCCTCGGGCAAGTGGTTCCAAAGCCGAGGAGCCCGGACAGAGAAGGCTCGGTCTCCTTTAGTCCGGAGCCTCGACCTTGGACCAGTCACAGGGACCTGCCCGAGGGTCTGAGGCTGCGGGGGAAGGGCTCGTAGGGGGTTAAAACTCAAAAATATAGCTGGGTGCCAGACCTAAACGAGCTTTAAAAGTAATCAGATCTTTAAATCAATTCTATAACGCAGATGGAGCCAGTGGAGGGACGCCAAGACAGGGGTGATGTGCTCCCTTCTGTTCAAACCAGTGAGAAGTCTGCTCTGTGTTCTCGGAGAAACTTTTATCAATCCATTTCTATTCAAATTAAGATAAAAAAAACCCTCTTTGAGCCCACCACGAGACCTTCTCCACTGACGTCTGCTGTCGTTGTGTCCTTGGGCAAGATGAATGAAGGACCATCCTCTTCTTCTTCTTCTTAAATACTGATTGTGGTTGTGTGTTCGCAGGTGATCGAGTGCATCACCCAGGGCCGCGTGCTGCAGCGGCCTCGGACTTGTCCCAAGGAGGTGTACGACCTGATGCTGGGCTGCTGGCAGAGAGAGCCCTACATGAGGCTCAACATCAGGGAGATCCACGCGCTGTTGCAAAGTCTGGCCAAGGCCTCGCCCGTCTACCTGGACATACTGGGCTGAAAAACCATCTGTGTGTGTGTGTGTGTGTGTGTGTGATTGTGTGTGTGCGTTTGTGTGTGTGTGTATGTGTGTGTGTGTCAGAGAGAGAGAGAGAGAGAGTATGTCTGCGAGCTGGATCTCTGTATGAATGTGGACCAGAGCAGGGCAGAGACAAGAGCTATTGTGCGTGTGTGTGTGTGTGTATGCGTGTGTGTGTGTGTGTGCGTGTGTGTGTGCGTGTGTGTGCGGTAGCCTCCGTATGGTGCTTGTGTGAGCATATACTTTGTACAGTCTCAAAGCTGTAAATGTAATTGTAAATGTCTACGTCCTCTTTACATAGAGAAAAGCCTTAAATTGAACCTTTCCTTTGATTTTAGATTTTTTTTTTTCTTCAACCGCGATTCAGAATCTCACTTGCATTTTACAAATTCAATCAAGACACAGGCAGATTTTAGCACTATTTTTGCACTTCCAGAAAAAAACGAGTATTTCAGTTCACACCATAAGACTTTGTTTTTACACACTGCAAAAAATGATTAAATATGCGGTAATACATTTATAATACATATTTTAGAAAAACTATTGATTCATTTTCTCATTCCAAATTAGACATTTCTTGTATCTTTTTAAAACAAGACCATTTTTTTGTCCCATTGGAGAATCTTGTTTTAAGGCAGTCACAACGTGCTAGAATTAAGATACATTTTGCCAATTTTTTAGCCATTTTTAACTTATTTTCCATCGCTTTTTGCAGTGTACAGCAAGTAGAAGAAAAAGAATTTGATTTAAAATGAAATAAAAAAAAACACTTATTATAGTCTAGTCTCAGCACTGTCATTTTCGGACTTGGATTCTCTTTTGTCTGTTTTGTTGGACCACTTTTGTCACTTTTTCCATGTATCTAAAGCACACAATGAGGACTTATCGAACTGTCTTGATGAAAATGAGGAGTTTTATTTTTTTTCACCAGCAACTCTCCGTCATGGGTCGATCTGGCGCCCGTCTCTAGACCTTTTACCGTTCAAACTCGTCACGGCGGTAAATACTGACGATGGGGGGGAGACGGAGGGTGTGATGTTTGAAGCAGATTTGCACTAGCAGGTCCAAAGCCGTTTAAAAGGAAACACAAAAAGGAAACGCGACATGTTTTTTGTGTTGTTACAACTTCGTGCACGGGTTTGTCCAGGTGAAAATGGCAAATATAAAACTGATGATTTGTCCCGTTTACTTGTGCTTTTCAGACTGATCAGATTTCCCTGCAAATAAATGATAGAATATGAGGTAATACATGCATGACTCAAGTGTTTTTATCTAGATTTGAGCACATTCTGAATGTCTTAAAACAAAAATTGCCAACGGGACACAGTCATTTAGTCATATTTCAAGAGCTGTTTATTATTATTTAATTTGTTCCTTTTTGTTTATTTTATGTTTATGTTTTTGTTCATTTTTATTTATTTTTTGTTCATTTTTATTTATTTATGTATTTTTTTCATTTTTGTTTGTTTAATTTATTTGTTATTTTATTTTATTCATTTTATTATTTTTTATTTATTTTGTTTATTTTATTTTATTTTTATTTTTTTATTTTTTTTATTTTTTTGGATTCATATTTTTATTTTTTATTTGCCAGGAAGACATTTTCAAGACAATTCAAGCATTTTTTTTTTTTTTTACCTCACATTTGATCATTTTTTGCAGTGAACTCAAAAATCTAACACTTGCATTTCTTCAAAATCAAAACGATCAAAAAGTATCTCCGATTTTGTCCTGGATCGGCTGTTTTCCCCCACTTTCTGTTCGTCACTTGTACCATAGTCTGATGTCTCCTGTATATACACTGTGTCCTCTTTGTACAGTCTGATTGTCTATATGCACAGTAGGTATGTTTATTATAGTATCTGTTCAAAGCAGATGTTGAAACTGTGTGAACTCGATGGAAGACTTCATGTTCTGGGCCACTGGCAATACCTACGAATTGTAAATAAGATTTTATTACAGCATCGTCGGCCTAAACATTTGTGCTTGATCATAATCGACAGGAGTGAAAACAGTCCTCGTCTCAACGGTTCGCAATAGATTTTATTTCACAAACAAGAACAAGGGGCTCGAGGTTTGAGAACGGAAAACTGAGACCATGAGACCAGGCCGAGGCTAAGACTGAGACCAGGCCGAGGCTAAGACTGAGACCAGGCCGAGGTTAAAACTGAGACCAGGCCGGGGTTAAAACTGAGACCAGGCCGAGGTTAAAACTGAGACCAGGCCGAGGTTAAAACTGAGACCAGGCCGAGGTTAAAACTGAGACCAGGCCGGGGTTAAAACTGAGACCAGACCAAAACTGAGACTAGACTGAGGTTAAAACTGAGACCAGGCCGAGGTTAAAACTGAGACCAGGCCGGGGTTAAAACTGAGACCAGACCAAAACTGAGACTAGACTGAGGTTAAAACTGAGACCAGGCCGAGGCTAAACGGTCTCTGTTGTAGGGAAACTGAGACAAGACCGAGGCTAAAACTGAGACCAGACCAAAACTGAGACCAGGCCGAGGCTAAACGGTCTCTGTTGTAGGGAAACTGAGACCAGGCCGAGGCTAAGACTGAGACCAGACCGAGAATAAATGGTGTCTGTTGTAGAGACCAGACCGAGGCTTAAACAGTCTCTGTTGTAGAGACCAGACCGAGGCTAAACCTTCTCTGTCGTAGGGAAACTGAGACCGAGGCTAAACTGTAGCCTGTTTTCTGCATCCTTTATTTATTTATTATTATCATGTATTTTTTATTGAAGAACAACTGTGATTTTGCAGCATATATCATTTTGAATGTACTGGGATTTGGGGAAAAGAAATTCTTATATGAACCCCTGGCCTCCTGATGTTTTGTTTCTATTGTAAATATGGGATGGAAAAGAGACATTTGTGTCCTGTGCAGTGGAGCTGCTCTGTGGTAGTGTGTGTATGTGTGTGTGTGTATGTGTGTGGGTGTGTGTGTGTGTGTGTGTGTGTGTGTGTGTGTGTGTGTGTGTGTGTGTGTGTGTGTGTGTGTGTGTGTGTGTGTGTGTGTGTGTGTGTGTGTGTGTGCGTGTGTGTGCGCGCTCTGCTGGCAGATTTAATCCTGCTCTAATCAGTCGGATCTATCAATCAATTCAATGCTTTGTGCATCCTGTGAGTAGCTTATCCACAAGTAATGGAATTGTTCCTTGTGATATTGTGCATTTAATAAAAGGTGGTTTGTCTAACAGTGTTCGTGAACGTGTGTTTATTAACAACCAAAGTTACTTCAGAAAAGTGATACTTCATGTACTATTTAAAGGAGCAGTATGTACAAATCTGACCAAAAGTGGTACTGCAGCCTCTCCCACTCTCCCTGACTCAGGTTGCCAGATATGCAGACGAATCCAGCTGGGACCATAATATCTGAATAGACTTTTATCAACAACAAATCTATAACCAACACCTTTTTCACAAAGATAGAAATCCTGGTTTTATTCTATGTTTTGTCGTTAATGATTTAAGAATCATAACAAGACCTTTTTTAGTTCTGCGCCACATGGTACTTTACCAGTGAGATTAGCTCGACGCAGTGAGTTCTGGCAACCCAAATCACAGACATTCTGATTGGTGAAACGGTGGAGGGCGGGACATCAAAATGGAAAAAATAACAAGATGTAGGGGCTGGAAAAGTTATTTTTAAATTAAAATATATCTGAACTACTTTTATCAGTTAAAGAAGTATTGGAAAAGACCATGTTTCATTAATGCCTTTTGACAGATTAGGGCCCTTTAATGATGACTGGACATGAAAATCTTACATACTGCGACTTGCCGTGAGCCCTACTAAAACAATGGGCAGCACGGTGGCTGAGTGGTTAGCACTCACGCTTCTCAGCAAGAAGGTCCTGGGTTAAAATTTTGGTCGGAATGGGGTCTTTCTACTTGGAGTTTGTATGTTCTCCCTGTGGCTGCTTAGGTTTCCTCCAGGTGCGCCGATTTCCCCTGCCACAAAAAAAAAAAACTGTAGGGGCAACTCAAGGAACTTAAGATGGTTTAGAGTTAAATACCCACAAAACAATCCAATTCCATTCTGTACCATTCTACAGTATTGAACTCCCTAAATAAGTAGCTTTCTGCCTTTTTTATCCTAAAAGAGTAGTTCTCTGTGGGTGAAAAAGGTTGGAGCCCCTTCCTTACATGAACTGTATTACATTGCAGTAATTACATGACGTTTGTAATGCGTTACTCTGATAGTGTTTGATTTATTCTGATTGTAGGTAGAGCCACAATCCTTTCTTTGCCGTAGATTGTGGTACTATTTCAACATAACTGGGATCTTCGTTCAATGTTTTTTCTGTGTTATGAAAGAGGAGTCGTGTCTAACAATAACCTCTGAGAAGTGACAAGAGCAGCTGCCCAAAATACCTCACTCCACTTCAGACGACGTATTTTAGTTACGTACGCGCGGTTTGCCGTTTCACCGCCAGAGGCCGCCATAGCGCAGGGAACAGGGAAGCCCCATTTCCACCAAACCCTCTCTACTCTAGCGTGCATTGCGCTTGAAGGTATAAAAGACGAATTTCCCACATTTTAGGAAAAAACCACCCTCTCCCCTTTATCGACCAAAACTCTGGTCTTATTTGACGAGCACGTATGACCAGAATGATTGACTAGCAACGTACCCACAACAAACCCATGGGTATTTCTTGGCAACCATGTCTTATCATCATCAATTAGAAGACTTAAAAAACAGGGCCAAAAGCAGGCACTAAAACTATAAAGTACCTGGCCAATCAGGGTAGAGCAGAGTCAAGAGTGGGGCTAAGTCGGGCTGGTGGAAACAGGGCATTAAGACAGACGCTATAGTTACTGAGGGGTGAATGTCTGGGTGAATACATTAAGCTAAAAGAAGGAGTCCACATGTAAATACTTGGTTGCAAAAGCACTGTGCAATTTAAATTTATTTTGGTCTAAATTTACAGGTTAAAAAAATGTCTTCATGTATTTAATAGTTATGAAAGTTAATGCACAAATTGAATTTACATCTCCATGTATCGTACAGAGAGGATAAATGTAGGCATGAAGGTGGTGGGTTAATTTCAAGGCTCCAAAGAATCAGAATAAATAGAAAGTGCTCGTACTAAGCAGAAGCAGCCTCCTCTCGACACATATCTGCAGCGTCTTGGACTGGACTGTCCCGGTCGGGAGCGTACGAGCCAGGACCGGCCGAATCCCTACACAAACACACACAACTTGCATCATGGCGTTTTGGCGAATGACAAAACACTTGGGGATCAGAGATGAAGAAAGAAGGAGTTAGAGCTACAGATACTGGTCGACAGGAGGCCGCTGTATTACACTACACACTACTGCTGCTGTTACACAAAAAAACTACAAATAAAATCCATAATTCAAACACTGGCTTCTTCTGGTGTGAATGACCGACTCAGTGATGGTGTAAAATGAGTCTATAAAGCACTCTGTATTCTTTGTCTTTAGATGTCATGCACCTTGTAAATAATTGCATGCAGTACTATTGTAACCCAACCAAGCACTTTTTATTCAGTAATAGTCATGAACACACAGAGCAGCTTCAGTAGAGGGTTCTGTCCTCTTCACTTATTTTAATGTGGAGTATTTAGGAGAGCTATATGCATGTCACAGGAAGCAAAGGTCTGCAACAGCCGCCTGCAACAGAAAACCTGATAAAGAAAAATGTTTGAAAACTGATTATCAACTTCATATATATTTAATATATATTCATATATATTTATATTTATAGATTTCTCTTCCACTCGCTCTGTTGCTATAGCGCACTCGCAGTTATCCCACTTGCTCTCATTTATTTTGTTCATAATGTAACAAAGTTGGTGACAGGCCCAAAATTACAATCACCAAAAAACAAACTCAGAAAATCAAAGGTTGAACAGGGATAAGGACAGAGTCACCGACAGAGTCACCGACAGAGTCACCGACAGAGTCACCGACAGAGTCACCGACAGAGTCACCGACAGAGTCACCGACAGAGTCACCGACAGAGTCACCGACAGAGTCACCGACAGAGTCACCGACAGAGTCACCGACAGAGTCACTGACAGAGGCAGCAGCACGGACACAGTCTGCGTGATGCTTGTTCATCAAAGAGGAGGCGGCGGAGGCTCTTTCCCCAAAGAGTTGCTCTCTCGGAGCTGGAGGTTCTCCAGCGCCACATCTAAAGGCATGATCTCCACGCAGCCCATGGCGCCGAAGTCAGCGAAGTCTCGCCGCTCGTCCTCGTCAGAGGAAGAGCTCTCCTCACGCATCAACGTCGACAGCAGCAACTCCTGCACGAACAGACTGCGGTCGGCCCGTTCTCCCTCCAACAACTGACGCTCAGTCTCTGACATTTTCGGTTCATTCAACCTGAAGATCAACGGGAAACATGTGTGAGTCTGTCTGCACATACTTTATACATGTACTAATGCATGACATTTTTATATATAGAATAGAAATTATATATATATATATATATATATATATATATATATATATATTATACACTCATATTTATAATAAAAACTGGATAGGGTATTACTAGCTTATAGGGATGTAAAAAACTATGAATTTTCATGACCGACCACCGAGCCTCATTAACCGGTTGAAACCGGTTAACCGCGTAGTTTAAAATAGTCCACGTTCTTTGAAATAACAGCCATTTCGAGCCGCGTACTTTTCATAAGTGCAGCTCTGCGTTCTACTGGATCAGAGCCAAGACAGCGGCGCCCAAACCCGCAACAGCTCCGGCACCTTTGCGCACAGAGAACTGCTTTTTTAATCTTCCCATTCTGCTGTGCTGCGGGTTAAAACCAAAACTTTCTAGCAGCAAACGACGGCTCGTCCACATGGTCAGAGCAGCGAGTGGCGAGCCGCGTCTCACAGGTCTTCACAAAAGTTTAAATACAAGTGATGTGTGTGGAGCTGATCCCGAGGACCATAAACACAAACATGTTTCCCCTACAGCAAAACATGTAGGGGAAATACGCGGCTCCCAAAGGAGCCGCGTATTTGCGCGAATCCTTTGGGCTCCGTGACACAGAGGAGCGCGACAGACCGGTATGTGTGTGTGTATGTGTGTGTGTATGTGTGTGTGTGTAAATGTAGGCTCCAATGTAGTTCTGACCCGCGCCAGTGTGCAACTTTGACGGTAACAGAGGGGAGAGATGATGCGTGTGGATGTTACGTATGGAGAGGGGGAAAGTGTGTGTGTGTGTGCGTGTGTGCATATGTGGCTCGTGCGGCGTGAGAGTCGTCCCGGAGTTTATAATACATTGGCGCACACAGCTAGATACAGACCCGCTTGTCACACCGTGCAAATAGGGCTTAAAATAGCGTTATTAAGAGACCTCCCCTCTCCCCTTTTTCTCTTTTTTAACCGACAGCTTTGACCGGTTGACGCTGTGACGGTCAACCACCGGTTAAACGGTCGCCGATTTACATCCCTACTAGCTTATGGCTGTGCCACCTATGGGCAATTCACGTGGGCTACCCAGAAAAGAGTCCCATAGAACTCAAGGTAAACTAAAACAGCTCGACCTCAGCTGACAGAGAACCTGACAGAGAACCTACAGCTTTCAGAAAGATCGGATTTTAGTGTCTCTTGTCATCCTGAACTTTTTTTCTTCTTAAATCCACACTTTTCTGCCACAAACTCTGCTGTTTTCCTTCCCGCTCTGACTCCGCTCTAACACATCTCTGATCAGCAGCTCTGATTGGTCAGAGCGCAGCCGAGCCCCTCTGTGCACGTGCATGAAAGCCACACATGCACTTTTGGTGCAAAGCATCATGGGAGATAATCCACTGCGCAGAACCGGGAGGACCAGAGGACCCAAACATAGGCGAGTTCTGCTTATCTTTCGGTCCTCCTGTAAGTCCAATGCGCTGCTGAGCACAAGCCATTTATTTGAACAGGGCGCCATCTTGGTTCACACACGGACATCAGGCTTCACATTCCAGCCAAGAAGGTTTATATAATTTTATAATTTACAAATTAAAAAAATGTAACAATTAAAAAGTCAATGGTCAAAAACGAACAAACCCACATCAATGTCTCCAACAACAAAGTGTTGTTTTGGAAACGTTGCATAACATTCTTGACGTGATTAAAATAAACAATAATTGTCAATTACAGCTGCCCTGAGGCAGACTGATGGAAGCCCTCTGTAAACCTGTTCACAGTGTAGTGTTTCCTCCAGAGGAGAGTACTCGAGTACTCACCGAGATAATAAAAACTGGGAGCTGTGTGATGATGACGAGAGGGCGCTGTCGCCCACGGTGGCCGTGTTCGTTGCCGTGGCGCTGGGCGGAGCGATGGCGGTGCCTGCATTTCCTGCGTTGTTGCTGCGGCGTGTGGCGTGGCGCCCGGACTCCACCTGCTGCCGCGCCGCCTGTGCCTGCTGCCGCTCCAACTGCAGCTGCATCTGAAGCTGCTGCAGCTGCGACGCCGAGGGCCCCGAGGAGTTTATCTGGCCCCCGGCGGCACGACGTACACCGGAGAGCTGAGACAGCAGCTCTGCACCACAGAGAGTCACACAGAGAACCACAGAGAAGGTTAGAGTCGCATAGAGAACCACAGAGAAGGTTAGAGTGACACAGAGAACCACAGAGAAGGTTAGAGTCGCACAGAGAACCACAGAGAAGGTTAGAGTCACACAGAGAACCACAGAGAAGGTTAGAGTCACACAGAGAACCACAGAGAAGGTTAGAGTCACACAGAGAACCACAGAGAAGGTTAGAGTCACACAGAGAACCACAGAGAAGGTTAGAGTCGCACAGAGAACCACAGAGAAGGTTAGAGTGACACAGAGAACCACAGAGAAGGTTAGAGTCGCACAGAGAACCACAGAGAAGGTTAGAGTCGCACAGAGAACCACAGAGAAGGTTAGAGTCGCACAGAGAACCACAGAGAAGGTTAGAGTCGCACAGAGAACCACAGAGAAGGTTAGAGTCGCACAGAGAACCACAGAGAAGGTTAGAGTCACACAGAGAACCACAGAGAAGGTTAGAGTCACACAGAGAACCACAGAGAAGGTTAGAGTCGCACAGAGAACCACAGAGAAGGTTAGAGTCGCACAGAGAACCACAGAGAAGGTTAGAGTCGCACAGAGAACCACAGAGAAGGTTAGAGTCGCACAGAGAACCACAGAGAAGGTTAGAGTCGCACAGAGAACCACAGAGAAGGTTAGAGTCGCACAGAGAAGGTTAGAGTCACACAGAAAAGGTTAGAGTCACACAGAGAAGGTTAGAGTCACACAGAGAAGGTTAGAGTCACACAGAGAAGGTTAGAGTCACACAGAGAACCACAGAGAAGGTTAGAGTCACACAGAGAACCACAGAGAAGGTTAGAGTCACACAGAGAACCACAGAGAAGGTTAGAGTCACACAGAGAACAACAGAGAAGGTTAGAGTCACACAGAGAAGGTTAGAGTCTCACAGAGAACCACAGAGAAGGTTAGAGTCACACAGAGAACAACAGAGAAGGTTAGAGTCACACAGAGAACAACAGAGAAGGTTAGAGTCACACAGAGAAGGTTAGAGTCACACAGAGAACAACAGAGAAGGCTAGAGTCACACAGAGAACCACAGAGAAGGTTAGAGTCACACAGAGAAGGTTAGAGTCACACAGAGAACCACAGAGAAGGTTAGAGTCACACAGAGAACCACAGAGAAGGTTAGAGTCACACAGAGAACCACAGAGAAGGTTAGAGTCACACAGAGAACAACAGAGAAGGTTAGAGTCACACAGAGAAGGTTAGAGTCACACAGAGAACCACAGAGAAGGTTAGAGTCACACAGAGAACAACAGAGAAGGTTAGAGTCACACAGAGAACAACAGAGAAGGTTAGAGTCACACAGAGAAGGTTAGAGTCACACAGAGAACAACAGAGAAGGTTAGAGTCACACAGAGAAGGTTAGAATCACACAGAGAAGGTTAGAGTCACACAGAGAACCACAGAGAAGGTTAGAGTCACACAGAGAACCAGAGAAGGTTAGAGTCACACAGAGAACCAGAGAAGGTTAGAGTCACACAGAGAACCACAGAGAAGGTTAGAGTCACACAGAGAACCACAGAGAAGGTTAAGAGTCGCACAGAGAACCACAGAGATGGTTAGAGTCACACAGAGAACAACAGAGAAGGTTAGAGTCACACAGAGAAGGTTAGAGTCCCAGAGGACCCACCTGCTATTGGGTCCATGGCTTCCCTGTTGCTAGACGTGTAGGTGGAGCTCTGTGACGAAGAGGAGGAGAGGCCTCCTGTTGAACCGCTAGTAAAGTGCATATTTGTCCTCCGCGCTCTCGGACCTCCTAACCCTCGTCCCGGGTGAAACATCCTACGTACATGTCGCACACTGCTGGACTCATCGTAAACACACAGTTAAGGAACATGACCAGCATATGGCACATGACACCACAGTAGTAGCCTGGTCTTAGCCATCCCTACGTCTGGGTCTGATCCTAGGGTCTGCAGTTTCCTCGGTTGAAACCCCTCCGGCCAATCAGTGCGGGGGAGGCGGGTGTTGTAGGGAGGTGTCGGTGACGTCAAGAGTTTGTGCCGAATTGGCTGGTAATAGTTTTGCAACGGATGCCCCACGAGCTCCGTTAGGGGAAAAGGAGATAAGCTAAAGCCAAAGCTAAGCTAAATGCTAAAGCTACGCTAAATGCCTCACTCACTCGGGCTCAATACATACGTCACAATAAACTCAGATCCAACTGTTTCTATCTGCAGAAGGAGTTAACCCGTCCCACCTGTTAACGGAGCTCAATAGAGCAAATCCAGACCTTAGTACGACATGAAATGAGTACAGTGGTATGGTAAGGCCAGGCAGTAGTTTAGATACATGTCTGCAGTGAAGGATATTAAATCTCTTGGTGCTCTATGTTCAAGTGTAAGGTGAGCGGTGAAGTCATCTGTAACATGATTGGGGTCGCCGCCAGGTAGTGCTGCACATATGGGACAGATCTGGAACAAAAAGGTTGAGAGATTAATCTACATTTCCTGCACATTTGGACAATAATGAGAGAATCCCGACACTGACCACTTCGGTGGATGTTTCGGCGTGTTCTGCAGTGACGTGCTCTTGTAAAGACGTTTCTGTGAAGCCCATCTTCCCACAATAAGGACAAGTGAAAGACTGAGGTTGCTCTACTGAAAATGTATCGCCGCCATAATACAAATCTGCAAACACACATTTCAGTCACTGTTGCTGTATGTAAATGTACGTCCTTCACAAATGACAAATATCAGGATTCCTTTTGTGAATGACGTAACCCTTTTTACTGAAACTTTTAACTTTGCATTTCATGTTTTAATGACTTTTTACCAAAATATTTTGATAAAGATATTTAATCGATCAAGTAGTTAAGAGTTTTTTGGTTGTTGGTCCTAAATTATGGAATGAGCTGCCCCTGTGTGCGACTGATTCACTTCCTGTTTTGATCTTTTAATTGCCATTTTTGCTGTAAAAAGTGTTTTTTGCCACTGCTTTGTATATTCTCCAATTGTAATTTTGAGTGTGTCTTTTTATGTACAGTATTTTGGTCACCCTTGTTTTTATTAGTGCTTTATTTATAAACTGGACTGGACTAGTCTAGTAAAACATGAGTGGTAAAAGTCACCATTTTAATAAAACATAACTTTTAACTCTAACTCTGTACTTTTCCCACAGTGGGATTAATACATGAATCATTTATTTTTGATGATCCAGGACACTCCACATTCAACAACATTTATTGTCACTGGTCTCTGCCTCTAATGGATCAATGGTTAAATGTATTTTTTATCATTGCATTTCATAAACCGTTTGATTCTCTGATCTGTGTTGGCGAATCGACAGCTTTGTAAAGTCCTCGGAGAGAACTACTGTTATGATTAAGGGCTGTGCAAAAATACATTTAACTGAGATGCAGGGAAAGACCAAAACAAAGTGTCAAAAATGTTTCAGTTGTTTCACATCATAGTTTACAGTTTGAGATAGGAGCATTTAGACAGAAGGGACGGGGGGATGTGTTTGTGCAGAAAGACAAACATTCACGAGATTTGAATGACTTTCAGGTTAGATCTATGTACTACAGCTACATTAAGTCACAAAAAACAAATGCAATAATTAAATTCAGTTTAGAAATGAAAAATAAACACAAAGAACAAGAAATATTTGTCAAAATCTTAAGAAAAACAATGTGTATTTTTCATTTTTTTGATTAAACTTTATCTAACCAGAAAATCCCCAGTGAGATTTTAGAATCTCTTTCAGGACAGTCCCGGACCCAAAGACAGGTGGCAGGGAGAGAGTTATGGGAGACTATTGTACATGATTTAAGTGGTAGGGGAACCCGGAGCACCCAGCGGAAACCAACACAGACACGGGGAGAACATGCAAACTCCATGCAGAAAAGTATGCATCTTCTGGCTAATCCACTCAAAGCATAACATAACATGAGATGCAGCAAAAATAATGCTACACTAGTGAATATTCTTTCTCTTTTTGCTCTTTTAGTGCAGTTTGGGCGGCTGGGGTTGTTGTAAATCCTTGTGGTTGTTCTTACCATAGTCTACCCTGGTTAATATACACTGCATGGGATGCTCTGTGGTGTGTCTGGTTGTAGTGGCTCCGCTTTCGTAGCACGACGCACACAGATCATAGTCGTAGCAAATTAAACACTTGAACCGTCTTCCCCTAAAGTTCCCTTTTAAACACGCATCACAGCTAACACCTGCAGAACAGAGGAGAATACACGTTAGCCTGATGTATGAACGAGCAGGACAACAGACATTACAGTGAGTAGAGAGATATAATATTACACTGCACAAAAATTATAAAATATGAGGTAATAATTGCTTGAATCGAGTGGCTTTAGTCTTAATCTGACACATTCTGACTGTGTTAACGCTAGATTCTCCGATGGGACAAAGCCATTTAGACTCATTTCAAGAACAGTTGCTTTATTTTCTCATTCCAAGTGAGACATTTCTTGTATCCTTTTAAGACAAGTATCCTTTTAAGACAAGATCATTTTGCTTTGTCCCATTGGCAAATCTTGTTTTAAGGCAGTCAGAATGTGCTCAAAATAAGATACTTATTTTAATTTTTTTATCACTTTTTGCAGTGAAACCCAAGTTATAAGACATTCATGTAATTACACCAGCGACCACATAGACAGTAATAAACAGAATGACTGCTCAGGACCCAGATACAAGCCCCTAAGAGTAACCAATACTTAGTGACATGTTAGTCCCATATGAACCAGCCCGGACTCTGAGGAGCACAGGGACTGGACTCTGAGGAGCACAGGGACTGGACTCTGAGGAGCACAGGGACTGGACTCTGAGGAGCACAGGGACTGGACTCTGAGGAGCACAGGGACTGGACTCTGAGGAGCACAGGGACTGGACTCTGAGGAGCACAGGGACTGGACTCTGAGGAGCACAGGGACTGGACTCTGAGGAGCACAGGGACTGGACTCTGAGGAGCACAGGGACTGGACTCTGAGGAGAGCACAGGGACTGGACTCTGAGGAGCACAGGGACTGGACTCTGAGGAGCACAGGGACTGGACTCTGAGGAGCACAGGGACTGGACTCTGAGGAGCACAGGGACTGGACTCTGAGGAGCACAGGGACTGGACTCCTGTTAGTGCCCAGAGTCAGAACTAAACATGGGGAGGCTGCTTTTCAGATTCATGCTGCTAAAATCTGGAACAATCTTCCTGAAGATGTGAGACAGGCCTCCTCTCTGACAATGTTTAAAACCAGGTCAAAGACAGTTCTGTTTAGCTGTGCATACAACTGAGGGATTTTATATTTCTATCTTTCGTTTTAATGTTCTGTGATTATTTATGATTTTAATGCTATCTTGTTCAGCACTTTGAGTTGCCTTGTGTATGAATTGTGCTATACAAATAAACTTGCCTTGCCTTGCCTTGCTTAGACAAACTCAGAAAGTCTGGTTCAGGGACAATCAACATAATAGAAGTTAGTCTCAGACCTGTATCTTAAACATTATATGGAGTTGTCATGTTCATAATAAACTATGTATGCATGATATAATTGACCTGTGGTGTTTGGTAAGCAGCTGGTTTGAGCAGAGGAGCACGGCACAGACTGGCATGGTCCATGTCATGGCATATTTCATGGTTAAGTTAAGAGAGGCCTCGGACTTTAGGTGGTTTTCTTGATGACAGTGCATTCACCAACAGCAGAGAGCAGCAGCTAAAGGCCCGTCACAAAGTCCATTCATAAACATGACACAGCGATCACTGAAAAAACACCCATTGTCTGGTCATAAACACAGAACGGGAACATCTTACGGTTCCACAACTACACCTTCCCAAAGTTAGCCTCGTTAGCATGTTAGCATACAGTATGGAGCATGCACCTGAGCTAACCCTGCCGCCCGACTCACACGGACAGCTTCATATTCTACGTTTTAGGGATATATGTTTAACAAATAACTGGGACACACTGAAGTAACACGTGTACTGACGATATTTGTGTTGAAAGGACGTGAGTGAATGGTCAGCGAAAGCCGGAACAACTCACTTGGACGTGCAGTTAGCATAGCAAGCTAGGTTAGCATCCAAGCTAATGTACCAAATGGAAAGTTATGGGCCTGTGTGTGGACCTACCTTCATGGCGGGACATCCTATAAACAGTGGCACAGTCCCTCCTTGGGCTCCCCAGTGCGAAGGGTGAAGGACGATACAGGTTTTCAAGCCCCGAACTCAAACACCTTCACCTTCGGTTCTTTTTTCATGCAAGATGGAGCCTCAGTAGCTCAATATTACAGTAGCTAGTTCTGCTCGGCTCCCTCCCTCCCCCGCAGTACCACCAGCGGACACTAGGCGGCGCTGCTTCCCTCCCCCGCAGTACCACCAGCGGACATTAGGCGGCGCTGCTTCCCTCCCCCGCAGTACCACCAGCGGACACTAGGCGGCGCTGCGTCATGTGACATTGTGCAGTCTAGGCTCACTCCACACTAAACTGTACCATTGCTCGATCAAACTTCAAGCGACAATAAAATAAATGTATAAACTAAAAAATGTTTGTACCTAAACATTTTTTTAATACTATGCAGCCTATAGAAATACATAGTTTAATCTCAGAAGGGCAGCTAAAACTATTTCAAGAAAAATGGATGCCTTTCAGAAATATTGTATTGAACTTTGGGGACATAATTGTTTTATTTAGGACATGTCATGTTGGAGGCTTTGTGAATGAACAGGACCGAGAAGAATATTTAATGGTGAATGGTTGGATATAACTATAATCAATATGTAATTATAGATTTTACATTATGCAACAACAAAAAATTAAATAACTGAGGACAAACTGGGCGTTTTGGACATAAAAATCGTATCCACTTTTGTTACGTCCAAAACGGCTGTCTTGGAGCGCTGTTAATAATACAGGCGTGAACAAATCTGTGTTTAAGTAGTGCTCCCTTCACTGGACAAACACGCTGGGGACAGAACGAGAGTCTGTGAACATTCAGCGGTAACAGCCTCGGACATTTCGGGTGTTTTTCGTGTAATTGACCCAAATGTGACACATTGATACAGTTTAGTGTGGAGTGAGCCATATACAGTCCATGGTTGATGACAATATCTCAGAACGAAGAAAGGAGAGAGTAGGCATGTGGCAATAGCTGATAAACAGTTTTTATTATTATTGTAGAAGTCTGTGCGGATGAGGACAGTACAGTGCATCAGTGCAGACTCCACAGCAGTGAGTGGTGCTTTTTTACTTTGTGAAAACTATCCCTGACTCTTGTCTCTACCTGTGACTGAACAGCAGCTGGAGCATCACTACTCTCTGCAGAGGAACACATATCATTTTATTACATCGACCCAATCACTTCATGTACTTTCTTTACCGAAAACAATTATCTATAAATGCATCATGGACAAATGTAACCTTTAACTTAAAAACTTCTGTTGATCCAACCTTTAGTATCATGTCACACGTAACAGTTTACTTTGTGGTTCACAAGTATTAAAAAAAAATATGGGGAAGACTTTAAGTATGATTAAAAACATGAATGTGACCTGAGTAAGATCTGGTTTGAGCACTGTTCACAAATAGGTAGAAAAACAAAAAACAATATTAAAAAATATAAACAACAGAATAATTCTGTACAAAAGGCTTTACAACACAGCAAGCATTCGTCTATTTACAATAATATTAATAATGTTTATGCCGAAAAGCATAAATAACTCTTTTTAAGGTGATGGCAACGCATCACATTCTATTAGAAAATATAAATGGTAAAAGTGCATTCCCGATCTTCCCTGGTGCAGCGCTTTGTTCTAAATGTTATTGTTTACCTGAAATGTTCCACAGTTTTAGCTTCAAAGTGACTTTAAGTTACAGGTCAGATCTGTGAGGAGGAGAGCCGTCGCTTTGTGAGATTTTAACTTTTATGTCATTCTGAAGAACATTCCAATCAAACATCTGTGTGGCGAACATACACTGTCTATAGAAGGACAGCACTAAACCACGAGCTCAATGAGGCCCAATAGGGAAGTGCTCATGGACAGAGTTTGAGCTTACTGACTAACATTGAAAAGTAACCTCCTCTGGCTCAGTACCTCACACTCACTATTTTGGTCTATAAAAATCTATGCTTTTATTTTTTTTCACTTTCTCTTCATTCCTGGTGTTTATATCGTGATAATGTCTTTGTGAATCCAGGAATGAGCCCGAACCACTGACCAATCAGCATAAAAGAGGACATCGCTCGTGATTGGTGCTTGGTAACTTGACCGTTGCTACCGACAACATTTGCGTACATTTGCCTTAAATAGCCCGATCAAGCTAGCCCTGATTGGCCTCTTCTGCGTTCACACTAGGGCACAAACAACACACACACAAACTCCATCAGAAAAGTTACAGAATGCACCTTTACCTTTAAATCTGATTTTTGGCTTGCACATAATCGGCCTTTAAAAGTGTGAAAGTAGCACCGTTGCTCGTTGAACTAGATCAGTGTTGAGCAAAACTGGAGGTCAATGTGCCCAGTGACATTCTAGATATGAAAAAAAACATTGGTCTACTCACAAAAGACAAACAGGTGAAATGAATACAGTGTTCTCTCATGAAAAAAAATCAAGCACAGCCAAAGTCCAGGCAGCGTTTGCAAATAAATCTCTGGATGTTGTGCATAAGTCAAAGAGTCTTTAACCTTAGCTCCTCCCTCTAAAAGCACCTGAGTTCATCTTCAATCAAGGCGGACGCTGCTCCCCGGGTTGGGAAACAAAAAGCTGGAAGCAGTTTCACGTTTGCATAGAAACAAGAAATGGGTTTCTACAGCACAACGTTAGTATCGGAATCTCTTCTGGACACGCCCAGTGGGATCAAAAGTCAGTCCAGGTTGTGATGAAAGAACGATTGGTGTTTTTGTGGTTCTTATGGCACCCCCCCCTCTCTCTTTCTCTGTCGGTTGATTGTCTCTTCGGTTTGGCTTCTATCGCAGGTGTCAAAAGTTCAGTGTTCACTTTGACAATATCAGAATCAGTCCATCATGTCCTCCTTTGAAAATTCTCGAGGTTTTCGTTTGAAGAATCCCATCTGAAAGAGCGGATTGTGAGGTTAGTTCAAATCACACAACAACACACTGCAAAAAATTATAAAATATGAGGTAATAAAGGTTTGACTCAAGTGGTTTTTTTTATTGTGATTTGATTCTTCAATGGGACAAAGCCATTTAGTTTTATTTCAAGAACTGTTGCATTTTCTCATTTTAAGGCAGTCAAAATGTGTTCAATTTAAGATATATTTTGCCAAAGTTGAGTAATTTTTGACCTCTTTTCCATCACTTTTTTCAGTGTAGGAAATGTGCTTAACAGATAAACTTGCCTTAACTCATAACAACCACAGTGTATGGCGACCACGTTAAAGTAGAAACAATATTAACACTATTTACATAAAGTAATCGAAAAAAAAGAAATCATCCAGAATATTTTTTTCCTAGTCACAAACTTTGCTTTGGCTCAAGATTCAAACAAGTTATAGATAATTTTGCTTGTTTAAGGCAATTGTGCTGAAAATAAGATTCACATTTTGCCAGAATACAGCCTTTTTGACTTATTTTTCATGGCTTTTTGCAGTGTAGTGAGTGAGTCAATGTTAGGATTTTGTGTTTACCTTCCATAGGATGAAGATTACAAGTGCCAGGATCAGCAGTCCAATCAGAATGCTGAGGATGATGTACCAGAAAGGGATGCCCCCTAAGGTCTCTTTGGAAATTTGTACTTTGACCTGATTGACAAAAACACAAAAAAACAATATATAATATGTGTAAAATAATGCGTAGAAAATATTGCATTATTTGAATACTTACGCTTCTTGTTCTGCTGCTACTACTGAGAACAAACAAATCTGTGTTTTTGATTCCTAGGGTGGCGTTTACAAGCATGTGCAGGTTGGAGAAATCAGCCTGTAAAAAAAACCAATAACTTCATTTATGTCTTTTAATGGTAAATACAGTGGTTCCTGGTTTATTGCTGGGTTAAGTTCTGAAAATAACCAGCAAAAAGAGAAGTCCTCAAAGTAGCAGCTGTATGTTTTAACACCCCACACACATTTTATACACTTTTCTAACCTCCGGAACTCACCACTGATGAAGAGAGAGAGACCAGAGATGTCAAAGCTGTTGGTTGTTGGTTGTAGAGAGACCAGAAAGAGAGACCAGAGAGAGACCCGAGAGGAGACCTGAGGGAGACCAGAGAGAGAGAGAGAGGCCAGAGATGAGAACAGAAAGACCAGAGAGAGACATGAGAGAGACCCGAGAGGAGACCAGAAGAGAGACCAGAAGAGAGACCAGAAAGAGACATTAGAGAGAGGCCAGAGACAGACCAGGGAGAGACCAGAAAGAGACCAGAGAGAGAGATCGGATAGACCAGAGAGAGACCAAAGAGAGAGATTGGATAGACCAGAGAGACCATAAAAAGACCAGAAAGAGACCAGAGAGAGAGCTCAGATAGACCACGGAAAGACCAAAGAGACACCAGAGAAAGACCCGAGAGGAGACCAGAATAGGAGGAGAACCAGAGCTCGGATAGACCAGAGAGAGACCAAAGAGAGACCATAAAGCAGGGGTGGCCAACCAGTCAGAGACTAAGAGCCAATTTTTTTACTGTATTACAGCAAAGAGCCACATCATACAAATGTGCACTACATAAACATCACCCCAACCCTTACACACGCACACGCGCACGTACGCACTCGAGCAGACACGCGCACACACATGCAACCTGTCTGAGCAGAGAGAGGTGTGCTCTGCTCAGACAGATGTATTGTAAATGTCATCAACATGATAATGACAGAAATTGACTCGTACAGTACTAAATGGCTGGACGGTTTGCGGGCGCTTCCACCGCTCGCTTCAACCGCTCCCCGGTACTTTTTATTAATGGTTTGGCCCTGGTTCTAACCGGGCGAGTCGATACCAGAACAATCTCACGTCAGCGAACATCAATTATGATTCCGAAATGAATGCTTTCAATCTCTAACCAAGAAAAAAAATCGAGTTTCAACCCAGTGTTCAGCAGAAACACAACTGTCTTTATCGAACAATGATTCACTCTGACTGCGTTTAGTAAAAGATATAGATTTGACACATAACACCAACACCACTTTAGCTGATTTAGAACCACAGACACATGTTCAGTATAAGACCAGATACTTTTGCATTTGATTGAAGACAGACACTCACCAGGCAGAGTTGGCTTATCTCCTGGTGTAATGCTAGCTGGTGTTAGCTGGTTTTAGCATGTTAGCCGGTGTTAGCCGATGTCCGTAAATGTAATCCATTTGGTCAAACCACCTCCAGACTTTTCGGTTCTGCCTCTACTTCTGCTGCTGCGATCTTTCATTTCACGGTTGTCACTTTTAAGCTTTTTAACTTTTCTCTGCATTGTGATGTTCGTGGGAATCATTCTGCTCCGTCCTTAGCGCTAGCTCCACAAACACCTTCTGGTTTCTGGTGGAACCAGCGAGATCAGGCTGGTGTCCTCTCCTCAAACTGAGGAAGGTGTTGCCCTCATCCAGCGACCAAGGAACTGTTTTCCGTACGGACGCCATGGGTCGAGGCAACGTGTTGTTTGTAATGATATTTGCAACAGCTGAAGCAGCGGCTGCAGAGTGATTGACAGCGCATCTGACCAATCAGAATTGACGTTCGCCGACGTCAGATTGTTTTGGCGGCCCGGCTAGTGGAGTGAAGTCGGCCTTTACTATGGGTCAGAACTACATAGAGAATGAATGGCAGCACCACCACCGAGGCGTTTTTGACGCTTGTCGTGTGAAAGCCCGAGAGCCGCACGGAACCAGCCAAAGAGCCGCATGCGGCTCACGAGCCGCGGGTTGGCCACCCCTGCCATAAAGAGACCAGAGAGAGACCAGAGAGAGACCAGAGAGAGAGCAAAGAGACCAGAGAAAGACCCGAGAGGAGACCAGAAGAGAGACCAGAAAGAGATCAGAAAGAGACCAGAGAGAGAGAGAGACCAGAGTAAGACCAGAGAGAGACCATAAAGAGACCAGAGAGAGACCAGAGACAGAGCTCGGATAGACTAGACTAGAGACCAGAAAAAGGCCAGAGAGAGACGAGAGAGCAAAAATGCCCATACAAAAATCTCCCAAACAGGTTCCAGCGTCACACTGAGCAAAAGAACAAATACATCTGAGGTTTTCACACCGTTATGAAAGTCGGTTTCCAAACTCGGAACGTGACGTTGACTTGACTCGTTTTCGCTTCTGGTATCGTACAAACAAAAGACGCACACGGCAGGTTCTCACAGCTCTGCGAAGAATCGAACAACCTCAGAATCTCACAGACTTCATCATTACCCACAGACTTTATTCTGTAGAAAAACTCACCACCAGAAAGTTTCCCAGTGTCTCTTTTTTTGGGTTGGGTTTGAAAATGTTTGGGTTTAGATTCTCAGAGTTGATCAAGCGTCCAGTGTCACAAAAAACCTTCAGAGAGAAAGAATATGAAGAAATACTGTTGCATTTCTTAACGTTTTATCAAAAGTGCTGTACCTGTGGGCTGGTTTTGATGTTGGTCAAGTACAGTAAGTAATTTTTCATTGGGGACAGACGGGGATAAGTTACTTCCAGGTAAAGGTCTGGAGTCTCGATAAGGCCGGTCTTTTCCACCTAGAAAATAAGTTACAGAGACATGTATTTCTTTGCATTCAAATCGTTCACTGATGAGAGAATAGTTGCGTTCAGGTGGTACAATTCAGCAAGTGCCAATAATGCAGCCAATATTTTACATGTGTTTCTGTGTATTTTCTGCTGTTTTCTTTTCTTTTTGTGCCCGTAAAGCACTTCTGGGCAGCTGGTGTTGTCATAAATGGGCTAGAGAAGTAAAACTGACATTGTGGGAAAGAAGCCATTTGTGAAAGAAATGTTTGAAAGATAAAATGTCCATATTTCTTCTCAACAGATTTACAATTCGCCATATTATTCTATGAAAGTCCTTTCTAAAGACCAACGTCACATATGGTTTTTTATTTATTTATTTTATTTTTATATTGTCTCCACTTCTTAACACATTTGGGAGAAAATAAGCTATTGAGAGAGAGAAACAGAGAGATAGACAGAGAGAGAGAGAGAGAGAGAGAGACAGAGAGAGAGGAGAGGGAGAGAGAGAGACAGACACAGAGAGAGAGGAGAGAGAGAGGGAGAGACAGACAGACACAGAGAGAGAGGGAGAGAGAGAGACAGACACAGAGAGAGAGGAGAGGGAGAGAGAGACAGACACAGAGAGAGAGAGGGAGAGAGAGAGACAGACAGACACAGAGAGAGAGGGAGAGAGAGACAGACAGACACAGAGAGAGAGAGGGAGAGAGAGAGACAGACAGACACAGAGAGAGAGGGAGAGAGAGACAGACAGACACAGAGAGAGAGAGAGGAGAGGGAGAGAGAGAGACAGACACAGAGAGAGAGGAGAGGGAGAGAGAGAGACAGACAGACACAGAGAGAGAGAGACAGAGACACAGAGAGAGAGGAGAGGGAGAGAGACAGACAGACACAGAGAGAGAGGAGAGGGAGAGAGAGAGAGACAGACAGACACAGAGAGAGAGAGGAGAGGGAGAGAGACAGACAGACACAGAGAGAGAGGAGAGGGAGAGAGACAGACAGACACAGAGAGAGAGGAGAGGGAGAGAGAGTGAGACAGACAGACACATAGAGAGAGAGACACAGACAGACAGTGAGAGAGAGAGAGGAGAGAGAGAGAGAGACAGACAGACAGAAAGACACAGAGAGAGAGAAATTAGCTCTGACTATACAGACCAAAAATCTCTCTTTCTGGATGACTGAAAAGCCAAATTATCACATTTTCTTATTTTATTGAATACCTGTGTACCTTTGATGTCAAACTAGAGACATATAAAACAAAAAAGGAAAAAGGAATAGAATCCTCTAAAGTTCTATAATGTTGTCATTATTCTGTCTTTTCTGCCCTCCAACACAACTCCTAAACTATCGACTCTAAACTCTTTTGAGTGTTGTGATGTCACATGAACGCCGCCCTTTGGGAAACTTACTGTATACGTGATGTTAACTTCCTCTCCGATCATTCTGGTGTCGTTAAACACGGCCGCAAACTGTTCTCCCTCTTTAACCACGACGTGTTCATCAGCCGGCCAGCTGCAGACAGCAAACAGACCATTATTATTCATTCTAATGGACTCCACCTTCTACCTCCACCTTCTACCTCCACCTTCCTCCACCGCAACATCGCCCGCCTCCTCCCCTTCCTCCCACAATCCACTGCTGAAATACTCGTTCATGCCTTCATCACCTCCAGACTTGACTATTGAAAGTCTGGCCCTCCTTCTCTACGGTCTCCCTTCCACGCATCTCCAAAAGCTACAATACATCCAGAACTCTGCTGTCCGCCTGCTCTCGCCCAGAGAACACGTCACCCCCGTCCTCAAACAACTGCTCCAGAGAACACGTCACCCCCGTCCTCAAACAACTGCTCCAGAGAACACGTCACCCCCGTCCTCAAACAACTGCCCCAGAGAACACGTCACCCCCGTCCTCAAACAACTCCTCCAGAGAACACGTCACCCCCGTCCTCAAACAACTGCTCCAGAGAACACGTCACCCCTGTCCTCAAACAACTGCTCCAGAGAACACGTCACCCCCGTCCTCAAACAACTCCTCCAGAGAACACATCACCCCCGTCCTCAAACAACTACTCCAGAGAACACGTCACCCCCGTCCTCAAACAACTCCTCCAGAGAACACGTCACCCCCGTCCTCAAACAACTGCTCCAGAGAACACGTCACCCCCGTCCTCAAACAACTCCTCCAGAGAACACATCACCCCCGTCCTCAAACAACTCCTCCAGAGAACACGTCACCCCCGTCCTCAAACAGCTACTCCAGAGAACACGTCACCCCCGTCCTCAAACAACTCCTCCAGAGAACACGTCACCCCTGTCCTCAAACAGCTACTCCAGAGAACACGTCACCCCCGTCCTCAAACAGCTACTCCAGAGAACACGTCACCCCCGTCCTCAAACAACTACTCCAGAGAACACGTCACCCCCGTCCTCAAACAACTACTCCAGAGAACACGTCACCCCCGTCCTCAAACAACTGCTCCAGAGAACACATCACCCCCGTCCTCAAACAACTACTCCAGAGAACACGTCACCCCCGTCCTCAAACAACTACTCCAGAGAACACGTCACCCCCGTCCTCAAACAACTACTCCAGAGAACACGTCACCCCCGTCCTCAAACAACTACTCCAGAGAACACATCACCCCCGTCCTCAAACAACTGCTCCAGAGAACACGTCACCCCCGTCCTCAAACAACTACTCCAGAGAACACGTCACCCCCGTCCTCAAACAACTGCTCCAGAGAACACATCACCCCCGTCCTCAAACAACTACTCCAGAGAACACGTCACCCCCGTCCTCAAACAACTACTCCAGAGAACACGTCACCCCCGTCCTCAAACAACTGCTCCAGAGAACACGTCACCCCCGTCCTCAAACAACTACTCCAGAGAACACGTCACCCCCGTCCTCAAACAACTGCTCCAGAGAACACGTCACCCCCGTCCTCAAACAACTGCTCCAGAGAACACATCACCCCCGTCCTCAAACAACTACTCCAGAGAACACGTCACCCCCGTCCTCAAACAACTACTCCAGAGAACACGTCACCCCCGTCCTCAAACAACTGCTCCAGAGAACACGTCACCCCCGTCCTCAAACAACTACTCCAGAGAACACGTCACCCCCGTCCTCAAACAACTGCTCCAGAGAACACGTCACCCCCGTCCTCAAACAACTGCTCCAGAGAACACATCACCCCCGTCCTCAAACAACTACTCCAGAGAACACGTCACCCCCGTCCTCAAACAACTACTCCAGAGAACACATCACCCCCGTCCTCAAACAACTACTCCAGAGAACACGTCACCCCCGTCCTCAAACAACTACTCCAGAGAACACGTCACCCCCGTCCTCAAACAACTACTCCAGAGAACACGTCACCCCCGTCCTCAAACAACTACTCCAGAGAACACGTCACCCCCGTCCTCAAACAACTACTCCAGAGAACACGTCACCCCCGTCCTCAAACAACTACTCCAGAGAACACATCACCCCCGTCCTCAAACAACTACTCCAGAGAACACATCACCCCCGTCCTCAAACAACTACTCCAGAGAACACGTCACCCCCGTCCTCAAACAACCTCCAACGTCACCCCGTCCTCAAAAACTACCAGAGAACACGTCACCCCCGTCCTCAAACAACTGCTCCAGAGAACACGTCACCCCCGTCCTCAAACAACTACTCCAGAGAACACGTCACCCCCGTCCTCAAATCCCAGAAACATCACCCCGCTCAAACAACTCCAGAGAACACGTCACCCCCGTCCTCAAACAACTACTCCAGAGAACACGTCACCCCCGTCCTCAAACAACTGCTCCAGAGAACACGTCACCCCCGTCCTCAAACAACTACTCCAGAGAACACGTCACCCCCGTCCTCAAACAACTGCTCCAGAGAACACGTCACCCCCGTCCTCAAACAACTGCTCCAGAGAACACATCACCCCCGTCCTCAAACAACTACTCCAGAGAACACGTCACCCCCGTCCTCAAACAACTACTCCAGAGAACACGTCACCCCCGTCCTCAAACAACTGCTCCAGAGAACACGTCACCCCCGTCCTCAAACAACTACTCCAGAGAACACGTCACCCCCGTCCTCAAACAACTGCTCCAGAGAACACGTCACCCCCGTCCTCAAACAACTGCTCCAGAGAACACATCACCCCCGTCCTCAAACAACTACTCCAGAGAACACGTCACCCCCGTCCTCAAACAACTACTCCAGAGAACACATCACCCCCGTCCTCAAACAACTACTCCAGAGAACACGTCACCCCCGTCCTCAAACAACTACTCCAGAGAACACGTCACCCCCGTCCTCAAACAACTACTCCAGAGAACACGTCACCCCCGTCCTCAAACAACTACTCCAGAGAACACGTCACCCCCGTCCTCAAACAACTACTCCAGAGAACACGTCACCCCCGTCCTCAAACAACTACTCCAGAGAACACATCACCCCCGTCCTCAAACAACTACTCCAGAGAACACATCACCCCCGTCCTCAAACAACTACTCCAGAGAACACGTCACCCCCGTCCTCAAACAACTGCTCCAGAGAACACATCACCCCCGTCCTCAAACAACTACTCCAGAGAACACGTCACCCCCGTCCTCAAACAACTACTCCAGAGAACACATCACCCCCGTCCTCAAACAACTACTCCAGAGAACACATCACCCCCGTCCTCAAACAACTACTCCAGAGAACACATCACCCCCGTCCTCAAACAACTACTCCAGAGAACACGTCACCCCCGTCCTCAAACAACTGCTCCAGAGAACACATCACCCCCGTCCTCAAACAACTACTCCAGAGAACACATCACCCCCGTCCTCAAACAACTACTCCAGAGAACACATCACCCCCGTCCTCAAACAACTACTCCAGAGAACACGTCACCCCCGTCCTCAAACAACTGCTCCAGAGAACAAACGTCACCCCCGTCCTCAAACAACTACTCCAGAGAACACGTCACCCCCGTCCTCAAACAACTACTCCAGAGAACACGTCACCCCCGTCCTCAAACAACTGTACTGGCTCCCTGTTCCATCCAATACAAGGCCCTCCTTCTCACCGACGAGTCCCTTCATACCTCTCTGACCTCCTCCATCCTCACTGGCCCACCCACAGACTCAGACCTCCTCGCTCCCCTCAGAACTAAACATCGAACCTTGAGGCACCGAGTCGTTGCCACAGCTGCCCCCACTCTTGGGAAGTCACTCCCACAACCGATCAGAAGCTCCCACTCACTACAGAAGCAAGGAACTATTTATTTAGACTTTATCACATAGTGTTTTCCTTATGTCTCTGTTATTTTGACATGTTTTGTAGTGAGTAGGCAAGTGATCTTTATTCATATAGCGCCACACACATTTCACATTGTCACATTTACTCACACAGTGAAAATAAGTCCGGCTTCGTACTTCACGGGGATCGAGATCTGAGCACTGTTGTCGTACAGTGTCGCTTCTAACTCTTCGCTGTCACTAAAACACAAAACGGTTACTACATTATAACAAGTGCACTCACAGACATATTTATGATTTATATTATGTCATTGATGTAGAAATAGGTCTATCTCTGGTCTCTCTCTGGTCTCTCTCGGGTCTCTCTCTGGTCTCTCTCTGGTCTCTCTCTGGTCTCTCTCTGGTCTCTCTCTGGTCTCTCTCGGGTCTCTCTCGGGTCCCACTCTGGTCCCACTCTGGTCTCACTCTGGTCTCTCTCTGGTCTCAGTGTCCCGCTCTGGACTCAGGTCTCTCTCTGGTCTCTCTCTGGTTTCTCTCTGGTCTCTCTCTGGTCTCTCTCTGGTCTCTCTCTGGTCTCTCTCTGGTCTCTCTCTGGTCTCTCTCTGGTCTCTCTCTGGTCTCTCTCTGGTCTCTCTCTGGTCTCTCTCTGGTCTCTATCTGGTCTCTCTCTGGTCTCTCTCCCTGGTCTCTTGTTGAATCACATAAGCATAAAAAAACAAATACTGTATGTATTTTAAATAAATACACTAAATATCAATAGTTTAGAGAACTCATAATTTACTACTACTACTACTACTACTACTACTACTTCTACTACTACTACTACTACTACTACCAATAATAATAATAATAATAAGAATAAAGACCTGAGGATTAAACATTTCAAAATAATACACTTTATTACACAAATGTATGTAATAAAATACAGTTTATTTTGTAGGATTTTAGAGTGATCTAAAAGAGTGAATAGTATTTCTACATAAGTTGAATTCAATCAATCTTAAGAGTTGGGCAAACATATTTCTGTTGTAATGTATTTAAAAAGTGAATCTTACCTTGTCGCCGTCACATTGATTTGAATTTCTTTTTGAATATGCGCTGAATTCACGTCAAACTTCACTTCAAGATTTTCCTAAAAAGAAATCTCAATGTAAATGTAAAATATTCTTCTTTTGAGGCCGTGTTCCAGTGGAGTCGTAAAAAAAAGTCTTATTCCAACCTCCACATTGCTTCCCAAGAAGGGGTACCCGACAGCACACTCCACCTTCGAGTTGTTCAAATAACAGTCTTTCTCAGGCTACAAACACAAACAAACAACTTTCAAATCAACCTTATGTGTTTTTAAAGCTATATTATTATTGTTTTGTTATTATTCTCTCACCTCCACTTTGACGTAGTTAATATTTGGGGAGAAGCTGACGGTAAGTTTGGTGTTGTACGCGTTATCTTTGGTATTTTTGATTCTGATTTTCACATCGATCTTCTCCTTTGCCTTGATGACCATTCTGTAAAGAAAGACACAAACAATGAAGACCTGACTGCACCAGTCATACATCTGTGCAATAATGTGCAATATGGGAGCACTTGTGTCCACTGTCACTTTTAGACCAGAGCCTAATGCGGCTAACATGTCATTATTCTTTCACTCCAAACACGGTGGTGATAAACTACTACTGTAGCCACAGCTGCCCTGGGGCACACTGACAGAAGCGAGGCAACCTGTCTGTGCCATCGGCCCTTCCGAGCAGCACCACCAACCATTCGCACCAGACTCATTCAAGGCAATGGGGGTGAAGTGTCTTGCCTAAGGACACAGCAGCAGTTTGGCACTTTACAGCCGCAGCCGCCCCACTGTGGCTGGTGTTTCCAGAGGTTTGGCTGGTGTTGCCAAGGACACAACAACAGCAGTCGATGGTGAAGGTCGGGCTCGAACCCACGACCCACTGGCTCAAAGGCCAATGCTCTACCAACTGAGCTACTGTCGCCCTACTACACTCTATTCTACCCTATACTACTGGAGAGTATTACATATGTATCTATAAATTAAAACTGGTTTGTAAACCAATATTCAGGGTTAACTTTATCAGGTATACACACAAGTGCGTGTTTACACTTTAATGTTTGTTAAGCTAAAGCTAAAGATGTTATTGTAGTTTGAAAGTCAATAGTTGTGCTTTACTCAATACTCCCGTTTATTATTTAGTGTTGTGTTGTGTGATCCTCATACCTACTGTTCTGTAAGAAATGATGCAACTCTGACATTTCCTCACTATGGGTCTGATGCAATAGACGCTCTCCGCCAGAGGGGGGCAGCACAGCGCTACATTGGGGAAATGACTCACGTTCTGACGCTCGGTTCTGCTTTGAGAGACAGATCTGCGATGCATCTCTCGTCACTCCCACAGTCCACCAACGGGATCTAGGAGATATAGAGACAGACTGAATGGTCAAGTTTATTTGTATAGCACAGTTCACACACACATGGCAACTAAAAAGGGTTTAACAAAACAAGAAATTGAATTAAAATTATTTTAAAAAATCACAGTACATTAAATAGAGTAAAATCATTCAGCAAAGGCATGGACTTTGTGGTTAATATAATCATTTCTGTCATTTCTACAAGGGTCTAATGTCGTGGTAATTTCTTAATATAAAACCATTGCTCATCTATGAATTAATTTAGACGCATTTTACTTGAATGACTTAAATATTCGATTTCTGTCCTTTTACTAAAGTAACTAAGACCTAAGACTCTATTCTCTCCTTGTTTGCACCGAGAGCCAAAGCCATTCCCCGGTTTGTGACTTCTTGTTACTCACACAGTAATAAAATAACTCTGATTCTGATTGTGACCAGTGCTGCTGAGTGTTTGACATCTCATTCTGCAGTGTCTCAGTCAGACAAAGGAAGCGTCCCTTTGATAACTTCCTCTCGTGCATCCCCTCTCTATCTATCTTTCTTTCTTTATTTATTTCCGTGACAAAAACACACTCTGCTTTTGCTCCTACCTCACACGGAATACACTGCAAAAAGTGATGAAAAATAAGTAAATAATGTCTTGAAATTTGGCAAAAATGAATCTTAATTTGAGCAGAGATTTGCCAATGGGACAAAGCAAAATGATCTTGGTGTGAAATGAAAAGAAAAAAAAAATAGACTAAATGGTTTTGTCCCATTGGTGAATTATGTTTTAACACAGTCAGAATCTACTAAAAATTAAGATAAAAACCGCTCAATTCCAGCATTTATTACCTCATATTTCATAATTATTTGCAGTGTAAGTGTAGCCTGATTGTAGAACTTCTAAAATATCAATACGTTTGTTGCCAGGTTCACGTGGACAAACTCTCACACGACACTCTCTGCTTTTCTCTGGTTATCATACTGTGACTGCGAAAGTGTGGGAAGATTTTTTTTGCCTAATGCTGCCGGGGGAAAAAAAAAAAAAAACCTGCTGAATGATGAGCGTCAGCTGTTGCGGGTTTTAACACAGTGAGGAGTTTCCTATTTCCACGATGTAACAGTGAATGTCAAACTCTGCTAAAGCTTCGTTCACGTTTTCTTACGGTTTTGTTGATGGCGCGAGGAAGGTTTTCGTCCAACACCGGCCCCTTGTCCTCGTTCACCAAACCGAAATCCAGAGAGACCATCAGAGGGTCCTTGAAGTCCAGTCGAGCCTGGACACAAGACATAATTCATTCATTCATAATTCGCATTCCATTAAAAAAAAAAATGTGTATAGCCTTAAATCACAACAGCAGTAATCTCAGAGAAGTTGTTTTAGATTCGCCAACAGTTCAAAAATACCAAGAAATGCAATAATAACAAACATGTAGGATTCATTGGTGCATGGAGAGTTGACTGACCAATGTCCAAAAATGTTTATAAATCTTCTTAACACTAGGACTACCACAATTAGTAAACTACTAGAACTCCCCGAGCCTTCATTTTGACTGCTCCGATTCAAACCAAATCAATTCGGAGAAATTCCCCAATAACATGAGTGAGTTTACATGTGTTTTACCTTCACTCACTTTTAATAAGTGCAAAAAAACCGGTGAATATAACGGAAAAAAACAGCAACAACAAAACAACAGTTTGATGAAAAGTGAGCAAATGCTAACTGCTAGCATGTGTTGCTATGGTAACCAGCACTCGCTCAGTTCGGGTGGAAAACCAAGCCGACATTTTACAACAATAAAGACATAGAAATAAACTACATACAGATACAGAAAAAGTCACAAAGTTATGAAGACCACAGATACAGATATAGAACAAGTTCAAGTGTTATATGTTCTGCATTATCACCACTGTCCTTAGACTCCCCTGCTAAAGAGTGAAAGTCAAATGCATTCTCCCACAAAGCACAAATGTTTTAAAATAAAGTTTTGATGATATCTAGTCAGTGAGTGAGTCCAGGGGTTTGATTCTCGCATAAGTTGCCAGAGCTCCCAGGTTCAAATCCAGGACAAGAAGCTTAATTTCTTATCAGAGAGTGATGATTGTGCAAACAGCCTCCTTTAGGAATCTCCTACTGATGAGTACTTTAAGGACAGTGACCTGCAGAGAGAGGCTGATCAGAGGTTGAGCTGAGTTTGATCCTGAAGCAACGCATTCAAAACCAATAAGTTGTTCTTTAATGTCCCCGTAGAGAAATGTGTCCTCTGCATTTGACCCATCCTACCAATGCCACTATGGCCCCTGTCAGCAGCAGTACAGTGTCCAGGGACCAGCGACAGATGATGAAACTCGGCTTGTTCAGGACCAGAGCCGTAGGATAATACCTGTTGTACAAGTCCCTCCACAACCTGCCCCTTCATACCTCACTGACCTCCTCCATCATCACTGCCACCCTCAGATCCACAGACTCCAGCCTCCTCACTCCCCTCAGGACTAAACACCAGACCATGAGGACCGGGCCTTTGCCGCAGCTGCCCCCTCTCTCCTGAACTCACTCCACAACCATCAGAGACTCCCACTCACTACAGGACTTTCAATCACCCACCTGTTTCACTTTGACTTTCCTTTATTTTTGTATTTGCAAAAGAAAAAATGGAGAAGGAGGCACGTACTCTGAGGACTGTGTTCCTTAATGATAGACCGACGCGTTTCAACCAGAGTCTTCGTCAGGGCAGTGATTTTGTCATGTTTTATAAAGTGTCTTTGAGTGAGCACCAGGAAGAAACCTACATAGACACAGGCAGAACATGCAAACTCCAAACTTGGAAAGGCCTTGTTCCAACTGCAATTCAAACCTACGACCTTCTTGTTGAGAGTATTCGTTCATTCCAGCTCTTCTAGACCAGAGCTGGAGGATTATATGTATAGTACATGTTTTTTAGGTAGTAGAGGAAACCGCAGCACTTGGAGGAAACCTGGAGAACCTGGAGAAAACATGCGCAGAACAACATGCAAACTCCACTCAGAAAGGCCAACTGGGATTCAAACCCCTAACCTCCTTGCTGAAAGGAATCCGGAGCACATGGAGGAATCCGCAGCACCTGCAGGAAACCAGCGCACTCAAAGAAAACCGGAGCACCTGGAGAAAACCCACGTAGACACAGGGACAACCTGAAAACTCCAGGATTTATTCTTTCCGGCTCTTTCTATCATTATGAAGCAGAATACCAAGGAAATTGAGCTGAAACTAGACCACCGTGACTGCTTAGCTTTAGCGTTAGCCTTGCTGATGATATGTCGTTGCTATGGTAACTCTATTGCTGCAACGGCCCGTCTATCAGCCATGGCAGAGGGAGTGAGTCGCTGCTGACAGGGGGGAGGTACCTCTGTGCTGTGTCAGATTTGTTTAGCTCGGGTTTTGACGGCAGAACTAACAAGTGCTACACCGTGTGAGATACGTGACGGGGAAACGAGCCAATAGATGCAGGAGAACAGAGCAGGTATTCATGGGAGCCGCACACAACAGCAGCTGCTAGCACTGATTAGCTACTCCTCCTGGAACCACACTGCGGCTAATCACAAAAAAATGCATTACCAGTTTGAGAGAGAAGCCAGAATAAGAACTTATCCTAGTTTATTCACGGACACACAGACGGTATAGGCTCATGTTAAGGCCAGAAAGTAGTATTTATTAGTATAGCACATCTCACAGACCAAGGCACTTTACAATGTTTTGCCATTCAGTCCATTCACGATGATGAACGACTTGTTTTAATGGACTGGGATTATTTATGCCTGTGTGATTGTTTTTCAAGGAGGTTTTGTCAAAGAGTTTTAATTGCCTTGTGTATGAAATGGGCTATATAAATAAACTTGCCGTGGCTTGAAGACAGAAGCGAGTTGCTGAACACAGAGAGTTTTAACTGGATAAGAATCACTTTTGTTATGTTTCTATGCAAGGCCGAGATATACTATAAGTTTGTTTTCTGACAACCTGCCAGGAAGAGCAAAAAAATCATAATTGCTCCTTACCATTTCTGCTAGGACAGTCCTGGTCCTCGTTTTACAGCCTGAGTCCTGGACCTACAGCCTCAGTCCTGGATCTACAGCCTCAGTCCTGGATCTACAGCCTCAGTCCTGGATCTACACAGCCTCAGTCCTGGATCTACAGCCTCAATCCTGGATCTACAGCCTCAATCCTGGATCTACAGCCTCAATCCTGGATCTACAGCCTCAAACCTGGATCTACACAGCTTCAGTCCTGGATCTAAAGCCTCAGTCCTGGATCTACAGCCTCAGTCCTGGGTCTACAGCCTCAGTCCTGGATCTACAGCCTCAATCCTGGATCTACAGCCTCAGTCCTGGGTCAACAGCCTCAGTCCTGGATCTACAGCCTCAGTCCTGGATCTACAGCCTCAGTCCTGGATCTACAGCCTCAGTCCTGGGTCAACAGCCTCAGTCCTGGATCTACAGCCTCAGTCCTGGATCTACAGCCTCAGTCCTGGGTCAACAGCCTCAGTCCTGGATCTACAGCCTCAGTCCTGGATCTACAGCCTCAGTCCTGGGTCAACAGCCTCAGTCCTGGATCTACAGCCTCAGTCCTGGATCTACAGCCTGTTTGTCTGTGGGAGCAGATCCCTCCCTCAAACTGGGTTTTTGAGTCATTCCTTGCTGATGCAGAAGGGTCTAAGGACAGTGATGATCCGGGACATTTAAAAACACTTATTATTAATAGTTTTCTTCCTGCTCCATATACAAATGTCACTTATGTTTTTTATTATGGAATTTCCTGTCTTTGATCTGTTTTTGAGGAATCTACAAGTTTGAAAAGTCCTCAGAGACGTCTACTGTTGTGATTTAGGGCAGTACACAAATTGAATTAAACTGAATATTTGATCATTCCTTTCTTTTGAGTGAACCACGCGGCCGTAAACTCGACTCCTGCTGCTGCCAAACGGCTTCAGTCAGACTAAACAAGTCCTAAATGCTACTCACAGACATCATGAAGCTCTCCTGTAAACATTTCCTCTCTCCGTCTCTGATGCTGAACGTGCGTCGGATCCTTCGGTCACTTTTCCCGTCTTTGTCCAGAAACGCTGCTCTGGCTTTGGCTCGTAAAGCATCCACTGTCAGGTTGTAGAAAATCTCTGTCGCACACAAAGACAAAGGGACGTTACACTCGGAAAAACATGACGCACAACTCCCAGTATGGATTATTATTATCATTGTTATTCATTTTTATGTTCTAGTTTCCATCTGTCGTCCCCGGTTACAGAGACATGATTTACAATATACAATATGAAAGTTTATCCATCCATTCTCAACCACACTTTACCGTTCACTGCTTCAGTAACTATGAATATGATACTTCCATTCAGTTGGTAATGTTGGGTTCAGATGTGTGAAATAGGGATTTGTGTGTAAAAAAAAAGCTATATTTGGTTGATTGTAATACGATGTGTGCAATAACGGGTGGTGTGCAATAATGGGATGTGTGCAGTAATGGGGTGTGTGCAATAACTGGGTGTGTGCAATAATGGGATGTGAAATTGGTGGGTGTGTGCAATAGTTGTATGTGTGCAATAACGGGATGAGTGCAATAATTGAATGTGTGCAATAACGGGATGAGTGCAATAATTGAATGTGTGCAATAACAGGATGTGTGCAATAGTTGGATGTGTGCAAAAACTGAGTGCGTGCAATAGTTGGATGAGTGCAATAGTTGGACGAGTGCAATAACTGGGTGCGTGCCGTAGTTGGATGTGTACAATAATGAGATGTGTGCAATAGTTGGATGTTTGCAATAACTGGGTGTGTGCAATAGTTTATTTGTGCAATAATGAGATGTGTGCAATAGTTGGATGTGTGCAATAACGAGATGTGTGCAATAGTTGGATGTGTGCAATAACGAGATGTGTGCAATAACGAGATGTATGCAATAGCTGGATCAGTGCAATAACAGAATATGCGCAATGTGGACTCAAACATTGTGGAAACTTGGTGGATTATTGGACTGTGGTCTTTGCGTTTCTTTGTGTTTCTTTGTATCGCGCCCATGTGACTCTAACCCTACAGATGGAAATGATCCTTTGTCTATAATCTGGCATGTTTACATTCATGTTTGTATCAGGTCTGTTAATTGCCAGGCATAGTCCCATTTGAGTAGATAAAACACACAACGTACGGAGGTTGTGTAGCTCACCGTGGCTCACTGTCTGGTCCTTGTTCTCAGATTTGATTGTGTAGACGAAACATACTTCAGTTGTGACGCACACGGACTTGCGGCCGTTGTGTTCGCACTGATACTGAGCTTTCTGCAGGCGGATCTTGGGAGGGTCGAAGGTCATGTTGGCCTGGAGCTCGGCCACGTCCCTGGACCTGTCGACGATCAACAGACTTCAGTCCATCTATGTTCATTTGTATGGCACAGTTTGTAAACAAGGGGAATTCAAAGTGATTAACAAGAGCAATGATAAACAAGGCAAAAAAGACAAAAATGCATCAAAATACAATAATTCCATTTGAAAACAGTGCTGCATATACGTATTGGGCTTAAAACTGTTATTAAAATGGGGGTCCAACAATAGAACTCTCAGAGCACTCAATTTGAAGGAAAATTTGGGACTGTTTCTATATCTATATAATAAATTTTGTTTCATAGCGCCTTTGAAGACATTACAATATATAAAACACATCACACACACACTGTATATAAAAGTACAAAAACATTATAACTAGTGCTGTCCAACGATTAAAATATTTAATCGCGATTAATCGCATGAATTTCATAGTTAACTCGCGATTAATCGCAAATTAGTCACACATTTGCGTGCTGTGTGCAATTGCTTTTTTTATTGAAAACAATGTGTAGTGTTATATTACACACTAACATTTGATGCAAAATCATCAATAAATGGATGACAAAATAAATAATTGGTAACAAAAAGCCCCTTCAATGTGTGTGTGTGGGTGTGTGTGTGTATGTGTGGGTATAGACCATAGACTGTATAGAAACATCATGGTGTCATTATGATGATGATAAACAATCTGTAAATATTTTGTAAATTTGTTCATGTAAATACTCTATGCTGTTTCTCTGTTTACCTTCGGTATATCTATGACTGTAAAGTTAACTGTTTGCTTGTATTGCCTTTTTTATTAACCCCCCCCCTCCCCTCCTATGTGCCCTTCTGGGTTTCTTCTTTGGCCCCCTATATCTCCAACTACATATTGTTTGTAATCTCTGTCTACAATGTATCTAAACTAGTCCTTTTCTTTGTTTCTATTTTTTTTCTGTATATGTGTTTGTCTGCAATAAAAAGTAAAAAAAAAAAAAAAAAAAAAAAAAAAAAAAATTTTTTTTTTTTTTTTATCGCGCGATAAAAAAAATGACGCCGTTAATATTGATTTGCGTTAACGCGTTAATAACGCGCTATTTTGGACAGCCCTAATTATAACATTAAAAATAAGCCAGCTTAAAAAGGTAGGTTTTGAGATGGGATTTGAAAATGTCCAAAGAGTCTATCTGTCGCAGGTTAAGCGGTAAAGTGTTCCAGAGTTTAGGGGCAGAGTGGTTGAATGCTCTGGCCCCCAAATGGCCCTCTATTTCTATGCCATTACTATCACAAAATTTGACCCATTTGACAGCAAAATTAAAATGTGGCCCTTTTCTGTTGCTTGCTAACAAACCTTGAAAATGTTCTCTAAAAAGGGCGTTGCCAAAGGACCAAGAGACAAGGAGGGCTGAGAGTTGGGCGTGGTCTGGGCTGCGATTGACAGCTCGTTGTCACACACAAAAAACCAGACAGTTGTCATTGCTGCTTAAAGCAATAGTTTACACACCAGAAAGTCTCATTCCACCCTTGATTACACACTAAGATAATTGTAAAGCTACACACCTGAACCTAAGCCACAGAATTATCTCAGCAGCAGTGATTGTCAACTCATGTAATTTACTTTTAATCCACTAGATGTCGCCAGAATACTCCAACTCACTACTGGCGCGTGTATCACAGTACCAACTGACCACTGACAGTACCAACTGACCACTGACAGCACCAACTGACCACTGACAGCACCAACTGACCACTGACAGCACCAACTGACCACTGACAGCACCAACTGACCACTGACAGCACCAACTGACCACTGACAGCACCAACTGACATCACACAGTACTCCACAGCCAATGGAAAGGCCAGGACCAAATTCAAATGTAGAGCCACTAAAAAGGCAGAGAGGGCGCCACACAGATGTTTTTAGGCTCAAAAGTGAGATTTTATCTAATTTGCACTAAAATGTCAAATAAATAACCAAGACATGTAGAGAGCACTATAACAAACATATTTATGCAGTTTATGAGTTAAAAAAGGTGATTTGGTGTTTAGTTGTCCTTTAAATCCACTTTTCTCAAGGTTCTCTTTCTGGACTGGTCCTGGTTCTGAGCCGAGACAAGAAGGGTGAGTGCGAGTTACCGTAGCAACACACTGTTTACTAGCAATTTAGCATTAGCCTGTTTTTGGTATATTTAATTTTTGGTATTATTTGATTAAACTACACTTTTTTTTCAGTCCTGCTTTTTGGATTAGTTTTTTTTTTTTAATTCCACCCCATGACACACACTGCCTCTTTTCCCACAGAAAGTCACAAGCATTGGGTGTATCTAATGTATATCTAACTCTTTCCAAATAGCAAAATTCACAAATTACGGCCAGCGATCCGGGAAGAGCAATCACCTCCTGCCAAATCTGTTTAAACTCTAGGCCTCATGGGAGATGGAGTTTTCACACAACATTGGCCGGGGAGAGTCCGTGGGAGGGGGCTCGGCCTGGGACTCTAAATCACAACATGTGTCTAATGTTTGAGAACGTTGTGATTTCATGAGGTCTGTCTCCAACAAACTGAGGGAGCCATCTTTAGGAAGCTGGACAAGCCCAAAGGGACGCAAACAGCTGTCCAAACCCTACTCTGACAATGGGAAACAGGATGCTTAATATGCTAGGTCTATTTTGGGAGAATGCGTGTGTGTGTGTGCGTTAATGTGTGTGTGTGTGTGTGTGTGCGCGTGTGTGTGTGTTTCATTACACATTCTTTATTTTCAGACAGTGAATTACAGCTACACAGCACAGCATCAAAACACTGTTAACCTCCCATTGTAATCCACTATATGTCTTTCTTCTTTTTCACATTTATATTTAGATATTAATCACTTTTTCACACTAATATTTAGGTATATTAGTATTTAAATATTTACATAAAGGGAGAGAAACAAAAATGCACATTAAGTCGGTGTTTCTGTCTGCAGTCACTTCCCTAAACAACCGGTAGCACTGCATCAATTATTAACTGTTTGATAAATGTATTTTAAATGTGTTTTAAGAATGATTTTTAATTGTGTCGCGTTGAAAGACAAATCTCTGCTCAATTTCAACAGACAATAAAGATTTATTCTATTCTATTCTATTCTGTTATCAATACATAAAAACACAATCCAAAGCAAAGGGATGGAGTTAGATCCACTCCACTGAATGGCAGTAAAAAATTAAAAAAAAGGCGAATTTCAGAGGTTTTCAGAATTAGAGCAGAGAGAAACCAACAGCTAATTGTGAATAACTTTTAGAATTATGTATTTATTTGTATGGATGGATGTGTTAAAAGTAAATAAAGTATCTATCTATCTATCAAAAGGTAATTGCTTCCGTAGTACAAATCTCTTTCACAATCCTGGGGGGTGGGGGTGGTCTTGTAATGGTCTATTTTAGCAGCAGAAATGAAAGAATGTTACCCACCAGAACAGAGACACTCCTCCCAGTCCTCCGATAGTAACATCCGTGATCCCATCTCCGTTCAGGTCCATTACTCCGTGTATGGACTGACCGAAAAACTTAATCTTGTCGTCGTCTCCACCTGCAGGAATTCTCTAATAAGAAAAAACACACACAAAAACACATATTCTTTAAACAGAAGCATAACACTGTGAGCCAATACGTTTGAAACTTCAATTCATAAGATCATCTGTATGGGTGACAACATGATGTGGACATGATGTTAATGACCCGTAACCCTCAGTCCTGGTCTCTCTCTGGTCTCACTCTGGTCTCACTCTGGTCTCACTCTCTGGTGCCTTTCTAGTCTCACTCTGGTCTTCCCGTAACCCTCAGTCCTGGTCTCTCTCTGGTCTCTCTCTCTGGTCTCTCTCTGGTCTCTCTCTGGTCTCACTCTGGTCTCACTCTCTGATGCCTTTCTGGTCTCACTCTGGTCTTCCCGTAACCCTCAGTCCTGGTCTCTCTCTGGTCTCTCTTAGGTCTCTCTCTGGTCTCTCTCTGGTCTCTCTCTCTGGTCTCTCTCTGGTGTCTCTCTCTGGTGTCTCTCTGGTCTCACTCTGGTCTCTCTCTGGTCTCTCTCTGGTCTCTCTCTCTGGTCTCTCTTAGGTCTCTCTCTGGTCTCTCTCTGGTGTCTCTCTCTGGTGTCTCTCTGGTCTCACTCTGGTTTTCCCATAGCCTTCAGTCCTGGTCTCTCTCTGATCTCTCTCTCTGGTGTCTCTCTGGTCTCTCTCTGGTGTCTCTCTGGTCTCTGGTGTCTCTCTCTGGTGTCTCTCTGGTCTCACTCTGGTCTTCCCGTAGCCCTCAGTCCTGGTCTCTCTCTGATCTCTCTCTCTGGTGTCTCTCTGGTCTCTCTCTCTGGTCTCTCTCTGGTGTCTCTCTGGTCTCTGGTGTCTCTCTCTGGTGTCTCTCTGGTCTCACTCTGGTCTTCCCGTAGCCCTCAGTCCTGGTCTCACTCTGGTCTTCCCGTAGCCCTCAGTCCCGCTCCTGCCTCTCAGTCCTGTCTCTTCTGCACAGCTTTTGACCGAGCTCCTCCACCTCTCTCTGAGGGAGTGCCCATACTCTCCGCAGAGGAAACTCATTTCTGCCGCTTGTATCTCATCATTATCTCGGTAATCTCGGTCATTACCCAGATGACCTCTCTCTCTGGTCTCTGTCTTGTCTCTATCTGCGCTCTCTCACTCTCTCTCTGGTCTCTCTCTCTCTCTCTCTGCTCACTAATGGTCAGATTGGTTGCATTGTTCACATTTTTTCCAGGCTGAAATCTGTGAAAGACCTTCAAGAAATGTGATTTATCATTGCTAGACTAGAAACCCCCCAGTACCAACCACAAACAATAAGTGAAAACAGTTATTATTATCAATCATAATCTACAAACTATGAAAAAACCTTGTCTTTGAACCATTTCCCTGACCCTCACCTGCACATGCTTCTCCTTGAGCGTGCCTCCTTCTCCATGATAAATATACACCGCTCCTTTGTGGTCGTTTTCCAGGGGAGCCCCAATGGCCACATCGTTAAACCCGTCCAGGTTGAGATCCGACACCGCCGCGATGGCCGTCCCGAACCGAGCCCCACACGGTTCGTTTTTATTGGCGCAAACATCAGAGTGGGCAGCGCAACACGACTGATTTATGGGCGTCAAAGTGAACTGGTGCTCGAAACGGCCGTTCTGCAAATACACACACACACGGCGCCTCGTTTGCAAAGGGTTACGATTACAGTTACGTGTGAGTGACAGACGGCTGGGGAGAGTTGTGGATCACCTCGTTGATCTTGTAAACGTACACTTGGCCCTGCTCGTCCTTCTCTTTGCCCATGAACATCGGAGCGCCCACCAAGAGGAGGTCGGTGAAGGAGTCTTTGTCCACGTCCACGGTCTGCAAAACGCTGCCGAAGTAAGACCCGATCTGTCGACATGATATGGACAAAGTTATTGGTTATCTAATTCAATGTATTTGTACCTAAATCACAACAGTAGTTATCACAGAGGACTTAACAAAACCGTTGAAATCGCCAACACCGATCAGAGAATAAGTAAGAAAGCCATGTTTATTTTGAGCAAATAAGCAGGCAAGAAGCAAAAGTAGAATATCAAAATTGTGCATAAATAACCCAAGTTACATTTACATTGTACACAATTATAAATACACAAGAGTAACACTTGCAAATACTCAAAAAAAAAGTGGGAAGAAGAAAAAAAACGTATTTAATCCCATGTTTTTGTGTTGAATCAAATAGTTCAACACAAAAACACAGAACACATTGGTATTGGTCCATGGGGAGAGACCAATGTCCAGAAATGTTGTGGAATGAGTGATTTTGGGACTGAATCTTTTCCCACTGTGTTTTTCAGTCTGATGCAGGAGTGAAGATCCAGGACATGGACATTGTAAGAAATCTATATTTACATTCAATAAACAAAATTATACTTTATCACAATGTTGGGCAAAAATCAAGCATCCTTATCCCTTCATTCAAGTCAATTCAATTTGTTTAGAGCATTCGTCTCTGAGAACTTTACAAAGATGTCAATTCGTCAAAATAAGATCAGAGAATCAAACAGTCATTCAGAAATGGGTTTAGGATTGTATGAATGTTTATAAATTGTCACATTTCGTTTACGTGTCTTGTCTTTAGGGCCACATCTGTAAGCTGATGCGGCTTCCTGGGAGTTCCCTAAATACAATGGGCCTCATTCACGAATAACTTCGTAAGAAACTACTCAACTTTCTTCTCAAGTTGTCCTTAAGTAGATTTCTAAGAAGTCCCCACGTGGGATTCATCAACGCACTCGTAAGCCGCTGAATTGTTCGCAGCTGTTCTCTCAGATTGATGAATCCCATTTCCTCGTAAGTACAGCGCGCGTGCCCGGTGCTTCATTACCATAGGTACTTAGCATAAGTAACCGCCCACTAATGCCCATATAAGGGACTGCAGGGCCGTGTGCAGACGCCAGAGGAAACAGCAACAGGCCTAAAGCAGGCTTTTGCCAGACTGAGAATAAAGTTATAAAATGTTGACTTAAAAGTCGAAATATTATGATTATAAAGTCGAACTAGCAAAATTATGAGATTAATCTAAGAATATGATGAGATTAATCTCAAAATGTTATGAGCTTAATTTAAAAATATATTATGTATTATTTTAAAGATGAATCTCAAAATGTTTTGAGATTTATCTCAAAATATTTTGGACCCTGGGAGGAGATCCAGCGCGGACCAGCGCTGAGACCAATGCAGACCCGAGGAGAGACTGGAGTGACCAGCACACAGAAACCAGCGCGGACAGGAGAGACCGCATAGACTGGAGACACCTGACTGGAGAGACCGGTGCGCAGAGACCAGCGCGGACCGAAGAGAGACCGCATAGACCAGACTTGAGAGACCAGCGCGGACCCGTATGGATCCATGGGAGACACCAGCGCAGACCCGTATAGATCCATGGGAGAGACCAGTGCAGACCCGTATAGATCCATAGGAGAGACCAGCGCAGAGACTCAGCGCGGACCCAGTAACCTCCTGCAGCAGCAGTATATATGCCGTTGTTCTGTGGCCCGTGGATAAAGAAATGCCCCCTATAAATAGGAAGGGGTCACTAATACACGGCAAGATTTCCAATGTATTTGATAAAGCGTTGGCACATTTCATTTCAAAATGAATTAAAAAGTAGGCCAGATCTGCAGTGAAAAAGGCGGTATATAAATAAAGATTACTAATAAAGATTACTACAAATAAATAAATACATACATCGATATGACGGACATATCACTGGAATGTTGTATTTTTATTCAACTTCACCAAAGAGGACAACCCCGGCGTGTGAACATGTCGGCACTGAATGCGTACGAGTGCTCCTGAGGACTCGTAGGATTTGTACTTGCCCAAGTGAAATTCTGGTTACGAGAAATATTCGTGAATGCCACTTTCTTCGTAAAAACCGCGTAAGTAGGATTTACGTACAAATCTGTTCCTAAGAACCGTTCGTGAATGAGGCCCAATGTGTACAACTTGTATGACTATGAAGTTAATAAATTATTGAAAAGAATGAAAGAAAAAAGAAATGAAAGTGAACGACTCCCACTGATGACTGCTGTCGTTGTGTCCTTGGGCAAGACACTTAACCCCACTTTGCCCAAAGCCCCCACTGAAAGATCAAGGCTATGCTCACAGTCAGAGAGCAGCCGTCCTCCTGTGGACTCACCACCTGCAGAGGGTCAGTGAGGGGCTGGTGCTATGAGACTTGGGTGGCATCTCTGATTGCCACCCCCCTGACCCAGAAATGGATTAAAGGGTAGAAAATGGATGGATGAAAGAAAAAAGACAGTAAATGCAATAACAACAAACACCTATAGGAGCCATTGGTCCATAGGGAGAGGAACGACCCAGGTCCAAAAATGTAAATAATAATATAATAATAATAATGATATCTAGAATCGAATAGGGCGACAGTAGCTCAGTTGGTAGAGCATTGGCCTTTGGGCCTGGAGGTCGTGAGTTCGATTCCCACCATGGGACCTACTCCAACTGCTCCCACTGATGACTGCTGTCGTTGTGTCCTTGGGCAAGACACTTAACCCCAAGTTGCCTGAAGCCCCCCGCTGAAAGATCAAGGTGGTTTCTCAACTGATGGAGCAGCCATCTTCCTGTGGACTCACCCCCTGCAGAAGATCAGCGAGGGACTGGTGCTATGAGCATTGGGTGGCAGCTCTCATTGCCACCCCCCCCCGACCCAGAAATGGACAAATAAAGGGGTTGAAAATGAAATGAAATGAAATGAAAAAAAAAATCTAGAATCATTACTGTCCTTAGACCTTCCCGCATCGGCAAAGGAAAAACTAAAACCTGTCCCTTTGCCTTTGTACCTGTTCTCCTTTGAGGATCTGAGAGATGGAGATGTTGTTGTCCTGGTCCAGGCGGTACACGACCACTCGCCCGGTGTGGTTGTACCGCGGGGCTCCGGTGATGTAGAGGAGTCCGCTGGGGGTGGAGGCCGACTGGACATCGTACCCTGCGGACCGAACAACCCACTGATCAAAGTGCGCCAACACAAATCCACCATGGTCAACACAATCCTCCGGTGCTGATGGTATCCAGTTGTGTGTGTGTGTGGTTCCTACTGTACAATGTGTTGTGTGTAACAGACTTTGTGCTATTTTATTTGATATGGACACAACAGCTACATTTGACAGACTGGATTCACTGCTTTTAGAGTTAATTTTCGGCACTTGGGTTTTAAACGATAAAATTAGGTAAAATTAAGGTACACATTTATGCAGTAAGAAAGAGGAACTTTTATGTATTTTTTTTCTTCTCTCTCTTTGGCTTTTGATACCAGGTAACAAGAGACAAGTTTTTAAGTGTATTATATATTTTGATGTATTTCTGCAGTTTGTATGTGTTTTAATTGTTGCTGTTTCTTGGGTGTTTTTGTCAATGTCTGTACAGCACTTTGGTAAGAGCAGGCTGTTTTAAACATGCTTACAAATAAAAAAAATATGTATTTATCTATTTATTTATTCATACCACAGTTGGCAATATTGTGTAATCTATCTGTATGCACTGCAAGAAATGCTCAAATTTGGCGAAATGTAGATTAATTTGAGCACATTCACACTGCCTTAAAACAAGATTTGCAGATGGAAGAAGCAAAATGATCTGGTTTGAAAAAGATGCAAGAATGAATGAGAAAATAACGCAACAGTTCTTGAAATTAGACTAAATGGCTTCGTCCCATTGGAGAATCTTGTTTAAACACAGTCACAAATTAAGATAAAAAACACTTGATTCATGCAAATCATACCTCATTTTATCATTTTTTTGCAGTGCATATATTAGTATTCAATCAGTATCTAATCTGACCCAGATTTTTGTGTTTTGTAATGTGAATCTGGAGGTCAGAGTGGACATACCAAGATACCCCGCCAGCTGCTCGTATCCCGCCTCCGTCTCTGAGTTGTAAAAACTGTTTTTCCCTGGAACGATGGATGCAGTGGGGGTCTGCAGGACCACTGTGCCGTTCCAGTCATAGGCTCCCACCGCCCCCAGCAGCACCCCGTCCTGTGGAGAGTACACAAACTGTCACTGCCCATCAGCTCTATAATACTCTTTGATACTCTACGATACTCCACAATACTTGACAATAACAACTGAAAGACAAAACACACAATAATCCCAGTGTTACTTCCTGCTTCTTCCTCAGTGTTGTGCCTTGTGTTGAATGAGTGAAGCATTAACAAAAAGACACACTAATTATCAACAGGGTGGCTGAGTGGTTAGCACTCTCGCTTCTCAGTTGAAGGCCCTGGGTTTCAATGCCGGTCTTTCTGAGTGGGGTTTGCATGTTCTCCCTGTGTTCCTTCAGGTGCTCCGGTTTCCCCTACCATTAAAACAACGGGACCAGGACTCATTTCATTTTTGTATCTTAAATGAAAAGGAGCTTCTTAAATCACGGCAGGTCTTTCCTTGAACAAATTGAAAACTTGGCACAGTATTTTATGTATTAATCTGACTACTCATTGAAGTTTGTATATTATTTTATATGTTGATGGTTCTGCAAAACCACAAGTGGTCTTTATGACTCCATAAAATGTCAATAAACTTGAAACTTGAACCTGCGCTGTGAAACATTTGCCTTCCCTGCAAGAAGCGATGAAAAATAAGTCAGAAGTTGCTGAAATTGTGTAACTTGTATCTTAAATGAGAACATTCTGACTGCTTTAAAACTAGATTTGCGAATCTAGTTTTGTACACAGGCAGAAAGTGTTTAAATTAAGATAAAAACTCCAATTACTACCAAATTTTGCATCCGTTTTTGCAGTGTTCAGTGGGACACATAAAGGTTCTCTTCATGCATCTTATTCTATCGTGTCTAATCCGTCATTATTGATCCACTACAAACACACATTAATCACATCCTGCTCGTTCCTCTGTGTTGTGTCTAGCGCTGAATGAGTCGAGCATTAGCTGTAGCTCAACAATAGACATGAATCAGGAGCAGGAAGTGAGGCCCGGCATGTTTGTCTGCACAGTCCATGGTCTACACATGTGATTCAACCTCTGGTCTTTGCCATCTCTCAACTTCTCATGCAGCAGCAGCAGCAGCAGCAGCAGCAGCAGCACAAGAAGTCTCTCTGTCCGTAAAGTGAAAAATCTGAATCATGGCTGGGTAAAGATGAAGCAGAGATAACCCCAGAGTTCTGATAACAGACTACACTGAAAAAAGTTAAATATCGGTAGGATTTATTTACTAAAACATAACATAAATGATGCTGATTTATGCTAAGTTTTTTTGGCTTGAATATAGTTTGTCATGTCAGATTCATTTACTATTTCAAAGACAATACTTCATATATATTTTATATTCATCATTAGAAAATAATCATAATCTTATTAGAGAGAAACGTCTGCAAGCAGTGAGTTTTTAAGCTTGTTTTAAGTATTTTTTCTTTTTTCCAGACACATTTTCTTGTTTAGATAAAATCTGTTATGCTAAATTTTAAGAAAGCATTTCTCAAAATTTTTATAATAATAATACTTGAAATTTATGTTTTTATACTAGAATTGAGTAATTTGGGGCTAGTATTATTTTCCTAATTTACTAAATCTAGTCAATCTAGTCATATAAAATCATATTTTCTTCTATTGACAGATCATTTTTCATACTTCTTTTCATATATGTTATTCTTATTATTTTTTTGTCAAGATTTTTCTCGAGTGTACAGCTACAAATCAGTCCCAGAGACCGTCTCACCATGAACCTCATCAAATAACCCCCATCCTAAAAAATCTTCATATACTCATACTCATAAATAATCATCTCTCTTCATCTCAAATAAATCACCCTCTCATATCACCAACCCTTAAACACCCCCCCAACAAATCTCCCCAACATATTCACACCCCCCCTCCCACCCCATAACCCTCATATACCCACTCACTATCTCATTTCATAAACCATCCCCCAATCATCCCCCACTACAACCCAAAATTCCCCCATACCAAAACCAAAATCTCCCAATATCATCAACCCCCTCAAATCCCATTTCCCACCCCCCATTCCCAAAAAACTTATACACACCACATAAAACACTACCCAAACAATAACCCCAAAATAAACACATAAAAAATAAAACAATATATAACATACATCAAAAAAAACAAAACAAAAAAACCCATAAAAATCAAACATCAAACAACAAACCAATATACAAACAATTAAACACCCATATCAATATCCACCCATCACCCACCATCCCCCACACCCCACCCCCACCCCTCCCATAACCCAATTCATCTTCCCCCCTCCACCATTAAATATTATTCTCTAACAAATACCTACTCCTATCACTCAATAAACCAAAATCTTCAAAATCAATTCTTCCCTTCCTCACCCTACTAATCCCAAAATAATAAAAAATAAACCCATAACAACAAAAAAATAAAAAAACAATACCCATAAATTAAACTTAAAAATAAAAACCATCACTACTATCTCTCATTCATCACCCCCCCCTCACTTCCCACATTCTTTCCATCCCAAAACAACAAAATCCCCCACACCCATCAACCCTCACCAACTAACTCCCCACCAAATTTCCTAACCAACCTCCCACCATCCTCTACCAACACCCCTTAATCATAATTTCACTAAAATCATCCTCTAAACTATATTATTTAACAATATACACCCTCTCTTCCACCCCCCAGAGAGAGTGGGGGAGAGGGAGAGAGAGAAAGAGGGAGGGAGACATGAGAGAAAGAGGGAGACAGTGAAAAAGAGAGAGTCAGAGAGAGAGAGAGAAAAAGACAGTGAGAGAGAGAGAGAGAGAGTGGGGGAGAGGGAGAGAGAGAAGAGAGAGAGCGAAAGAGGGAGGGAGACATGAGAGAAAGAGGGAGACAGTGAAAAAGAGAGAGTCAGAGAGAGAGAGAGAAAAAGACAGTGAGAGAGAGAGAGAGTGGGGGAGAGGGAGAGAGAGAGAGTGAAAGAGGGAGGGAGAAATGAGAGAAAGAAGGAGACAGTGAAAAAGAGAGAGTCAGAGAGAGAGAGAGAGAAAAAGACAGTGAGAGAGAGAGAGAGAGAGTGGGGGAGAGGGAGAGAGAGAAGAGAGAGAGTGAAAGAGGGAGGGAGACATGAGAGAAAGTGGGAGAGAGTGAGAAAGAGAGAGTCAGAGAGAGAGAGAGAAAAAGACAGTGAGAGAGAGAGAGAGTGGGGGAGAGGGAGAGAGAGAGAGAGAGTGAAAGAGGGAGGGAGAAATGAGAGAAAGAAGGAGACAGTGAAAAAGAGAGAGTCAGAGAGAGAGAGAGAAAAAGACAGTGAGAGAGAGAGAGAGAGAGTGGGGGAGAGGGGAGAGAGAGAAGAGAGAGAGCGAAAGAGGGAGGGAGACATGAGAGAAAGTGGGAGAGAGTGAGAAAGAGAGAGTCAGAGAGAGAGAGAGAGAAAAAGACAGTGAGAGAGAGAGAGAGTGGGGGAGAGGGAGAGAGAGAGAGAGAGTGAAAGAGGGAGGGAGACATGAGAGAAAGAAGGAGACAGTGAAAAAGAGAGAGTCAGAGAGAGAGAGAGAAAAAGACAGTGAGAGAGAGAGAGAGAGAGTGGGGGAGAGGGAGAGAGAGAAGAGAGAGAGCGAAAGAGGGAGGGAGACATGAGAGAAAGAGGGAGACAGTGAAAAAGAGAGAGTCAGAGAGAGAGAGAGAAAAAGACAGTGGAGAGAGAGAGAGAGAGTGGGGAGAGGAGAGAGAGAAGAGAGAGAGCGAAAGAGGAGGGAGACATGAGAGAAAGGGGAGAAGTGAAAAGAGAGAGAGAGAGAGAGAAAAAGACAGTGAGAAGAAGAGAGAGAGAGAGAGGGAATGAGAAGAAGAGAGAGTGAGAGAGAGAGAGAGAGAGAGGGTGGGGGAGGGAGAGAGAGAGAGAGAAGAGGAAAGGGAGGAGACATGAGAGAAAGAGGAGACAGTGAAAAAGAGAGAGTCAGAGAGAGAGAGAGAAAAAGACAGTGAGAGAGAGAGAGAGAGGGGGGAGGGAGAGAGAGAGAGAGAGAGCGAAAGAGGGAGGGAGACATGAGAGAAAGAGGGAGACAGTGAGAAAGAGAGAGTCAGAGAGAGAGAGAGAAAAAGACAGTGAGAGAGAGAGAGAGTGGGGGAGAGGGAGAGAGAGAGAGAGAGAGTGAAAGAGGGAGGGAGAAATGAGAGAAAGAAGGAGACAGTGAAAAAGAGAGAGTCAGAGAGAGAGAGAGAAAAAGACAGTGAGAGAGAGAGAGAGAGTGGGGGAGAGGGAGAGAGAGAAGAGAGAGAGCGAAAGAGGGAGGGAGACATGAGAGAAAGTGGGAGAGAGTGAGAAAGAGAGAGTCAGAGAGAGAGAGAGAGAAAAAGACAGTGAGAGAGAGAGAGAGTGGGGGAGAGGGAGAGAGAGAGAGAGAGTGAAAGAGGGAGGGAGACATGAGAGAAAGAAGGAGACAGTGAAAAAGAGAGAGTCAGAGAGAGAGAGAGAAAAAGACAGTGAGAGAGAGAGAGAGAGAGTGGGGGAGAGGGAGAGAGAGAAGAGAGAGAGCGAAAGAGGGAGGGAGACATGAGAGAAAGAGGGAGACAGTGAAAAAGAGAGAGTCAGAGAGAGAGAGAGAAAAAGACAGTGAGAGAGAGAGAGAGAGAGTGGGGGAGAGGGAGAGAGAGAAGAGAGAGAGCGAAAGAGGGAGGGAGACATGAGAGAAAGAGGGAGACAGTGAGAAAGAGAGAGTCAGAGAGAGAGAGAGAAAAAGACAGTGAGAGAGAGAGAGAGTGGGGGAGAGGGAGAGAGAGAGAGAGAGAGTGAAAGAGGGAGGGAGAAATGAGAGAAAGAAGGAGACAGTGAAAAAGAGAGAGTCAGAGAGAGAGAGAGAAAAAGACAGTGAGAGAGAGAGAGAGTGGGGGAGAGGGGAGAGAGAGTGAAAGAGGGAGGGAGACATGAGAGAAAGAAGGAGACAGTGAAAAAGAGAGAGTCAGAGAGAGAGAGAGAGAAAAAAGACAGTGAGAGAGAGAGAGAGTGGGGGAGAGGGAGAGAGAGAAGAGAGAGAGCGAAAGAGGGAGGGAGA